GGAGGATGCTGATGATGAGGCTGAGAATCCAGACTTGCTTAATCCAGAATATGAACCAAAGACTGATTGGGCTGAAACAGTATGAAACTAAGCTGCTAGAAATACAACAACCCAGACCTCAAAGGATGACATTTCTCAGGATGAACTTGAAATTTCACAGAGTTAGACAGAGTCTAAGATTGGCATGCTGGTCAAAACAAAATCACAACAAACCCTTCCTGAAAAACAATATTAGAAAGGCATCTGTTTACTGTCTATGCACGTTTTTATAGGGGGTTGTTTCGTTTAGAGGGGTTTGTTTGATATATTTTTGGCATATTTTTTTTACCAAATGATCCAATTTGTTTTGGTTAGAAAGTAGTTTGATTCTTGAGCTATGCAATTCTATTTTTTTATAAAGCCAATGCAAAGTAATGCCTTCCATGTCCCTCTCATCATGGGACCCATTCATTACAAATACATGTATGAACATGAGATATGAACCAGAATACGGTACGGATGCCTATAGATGCCATGCATGAAAAGTATGTACGGTGCTTTGTGTAGACAGCTGCATTTACCTTCATGTACTGATCTGCACAAAAAGATCAATGTACATTGTAAAATATTTTTGGAAAATGTGCAGTTTAAATTTATACCGTGAAGACTCTTGAAATACATTGTGTATTTTGCATGTACTAACGGGTTCAGTTTACATTGGCAATGACATTCCAGGGGAGCATCTGGTGGGCAATAAAGGGTTAGGTTGAGTCTAAGGCGTGCCAAAGCACACCCTGCTAGGGAGTTGCGGGGGCATGCCCCCAGGAAAATCATGAAATCTATTTCCTCCTGCATTCACTAGTTTCATAACAGTAGTCAGAGGCTGAAAGGGGAGGGGAATGTTGCAACCCACAACCCCATCTCTACATCTGCTGCTGCATTCTTTGCACTATTGATGTGTCAATTAACTTATATTGTAATAATGGTATGTCCCGTAACTAACGTTAAGTGGACGCCGTAACTAACGTTAAGTGGACGCCGTAACTAATGTAGCGGTACGCCAGTAAGGAGGTCCGCTCAAATGATTAGATTTAAGGACGCCAAGGACAAATCAAGACAAACAGAAACAAATCAAAGCAGGAGTTAAATTATGCTTGGTCTCATGAACTTGTTCACAAAAATCGATTACAATAGTTTAAATTAACACCTGATCTCAATTTTAACCTACAAAAACAACTGTTACAAAAAGTATTGATAAGATAATAGATCAGTTTCTAGCTCTTTAAATTGTGACACAGTTGCCAATGATAAAATATATTAAATCACAAAGGTTGTATTTCTAAAGTTCCCAGATTCAAAGTGAGGTTCCTAAGATTCACCGGTTCTAATATTTTAATCAGAGGTTCCCCGAAGTTCCCCGAACGCCTGGCAAGTGTACGGCTGTGTTGTGAACTAGGCCTCCATATTGCACACTTTGGTGTGCAGGCAGAAAAGGGCTGATATTCGCGCGTTCACGGCACTGAGTGCGCGTTTGTATACATTTTTCTGGGCTGTGTGCCAATTGTACGGTGCCTCGTAAAAGACGTCTCACTACACTAACGTTTAACTTTCTCCCAAAAGTACTGCAGGCAGCTTGATAATATCAATAACATAATTACTTGACAAGAATAGTTAATTGAGATGTTTCTATTGGCAAATGCTATATTTTACTAATGTAAACATCCCAGCACACCAGTTTAATAATGTTAGTTACAGCATCCACTTAACGTTAGTTTCTTGTCCATTTACTACTAAATAAACCTACATGTACTTGTCAAGCTTTTTATTTGATTTTAATAAGAAATGGATACCTTGACAAGACTACAAGAAGCCAACAATTGCCTTGTTTGATACTTGCAGAAGAATGCACAAGTGGAAAGCGGACACCATGTAACTTACGTTAACTGTCAAAAAATAACATTATAATCATTTAATCTGCCTTGGAGTGAAACATATTTGGCATATTATATTTTTTATGGTGTTTGCCACTTTATAAAGGGATGTTTCTCCCACAATTTAAGAGAAAACTAACAGAACCTTTCATCGTGCTTCAGATCTCTATAAATGTCCCACTTTTGGTTGCCAATATTGTGACCTTACACATTACCAGATAAGCTTGGTTTATGGTGCAGTACTTTAGTCTTGTGTTGTGTTCAAGGTATAAAGAGAAATGGTTTTGGATGGTTGGTGTTTCAAATATGACGAATTTAGCTTAAGATTGGACAAGTTGTATGTTGTGTGATATTTAAATTCATTATTGTGCGTGTACAGCTGATTTTGGAAATACGTACAAAACAGTAATTTGTTCAAATAGCAGTTTGCTAAATGCTAATTTTTAACACCATAATCATACATAATTAATTAATAACAAAGTTTCATGTACATGTGTGAAGAAATAACTTAATCACAAAATGGTATGTAAGTGGCGTAGGTGTAAGATACAACACTGAATGACTGAAACAAGCAGGAAACTCAAATCACTGATGCAATGTGACGCGATGTTACGTGAATGCCCATTCTGATCGCACAAGCTTCATGTGACCATCTCTGTGTGCGTTCACATGCCTTTGATGAGCCTTCAAGTATCCCGACTGACCTGTGCACATGCGCAGTTCAAAAACAGAACTGGAGCCAGTCAAACTCAACAAGAGTCTATGCATACGTCAGAACTTGTACAATTTAAGCATTCCATACCAAGTATATTTTGACTAGAATTTTATGATTCCTTAAACCATAAAATTGGTGGCCAGATGTCCGTGCATGGTAAGCCATATTGTTTGTAGGTAAGGGTAGTTGTGCCTGCTTGCATGTAAATACATTAATTTTACACTTTTAAAGCTAGACATTTGTAACAACATGTGCTGACATGTATATTTCTACTTTTAATATATGTTCCTCTGTGATTAAATCTTGTAGAATTCCTATCATGTAGGCCTAAAGTTCTTTTGAAATATTAAATTTTCTACAGCAATTTCCACATGTTCTACTTCTAATCTTTCCAGTCTATTAAACTCAGGGTTTTTTTTAAAACATATTTAAGGTGTATGTAATGTGGGCATGGTTATGGGATATTTTTGTACTTATCGTTAATATTTGTAAAGATCAAGTTATTAAAATACGTATGTTCTCCCTACCATTGTGTGTACATGTACAGTATATAAATTGTAAAATTTAGATGTTAATGGTCTGATTATAGAATTGAACACTATGACATACATGTATAACAGGGTATAAAATGTCATTCTGTTACTTATAAGATAGTGTCCATAGCCCAATAGATGTGCCCTCATGTGCACTGTGAGCATGGTGCTGAATTGACAATTAGGGCAATTCCATTGTTAGGGACGTTACACTCAGAGCCTTGAGAAGACCAATTTGAAACAAAAACCTGGTACATTTATACTTGCAGTGAAAGTAAATTTTATATTTTTTTTAAAATTCTAACTTAAGCTTTAATGTATAACTTAACATGGTCAAAGGTAGGGTAGATCATTTGTAATTTGTGAATTTTGTTTTCCATTGAAGCAACAAAAGTGCTTACAATGTAAATTCGGTTGCTCAACAACCAACTTTAAGAAGTTTTAGTTCAGTGAGTGTTGTACATTCCAAAAAAAAAATATTCTAGGATCTATGGGCATTGATAAGACTTTGAAGAGGGGTGTCTTTCAAAACTGAGAAAGTTTTAATTTCTGAAACTCCAAATCTAATGGATGCGATAAGAGGCTCATGAGAATATTTACAAGTTGTGCTCTTTTTTACACTTTTAACTTTGTATCCATTGATTTCTTTGTGTATTTGATTGTGTATGCATGTGCTGATATTAATATGAATAAATAATTAACTCTGCAATATAACATTTTAACACCTTACAACTGTGTAAAATTGCCATTTCTAGTCTCTTCTGTCTGAACTTGAGAATGTAACATGTACAAATCCTGTGAATTCATGCGGGAGTAGCTCCTGTTGCTACGTGATTGCTGAGGTACTCTGTCCATATGCTCTGCTTATCCCCACCACCTCAGCCCATATTCCTAAACTTGTTGACTGTTGAAAACATGGCTAATGTTCTGAGTATTTGTATAAATACATGTGCTCCCCCCCCCCTACATGCCAGCAGCAGCCGACTACCATTTTGCTGCCAATACAGCTTGGTCCACCTGCAGTGTGCATCATTGTAATTGTTTCACTTGGATTTGTCCTCAACCAGCTGTGTCCCCTGTAGACAATGGTAGAATTGTCTGTTCCATCGAGCCTGCAATATGATCCTGTAACTTCTGTTTGAGTTTTGGAAAGTTCAAAATTGCTGTATGTAGAACAATATGAGGAGTGTTTGAATTAACATGTACATGTAGTACTACATGTAGGCATGCAACTTCCCCTCGAATCCACTGATTTCCTCATTTTTTACTTTCTCATGAATGCCATTGCAAATTGAAAAACTCTGTACAAAGTCTTGAGTGGTTTGGAATTTCCTCATTTTTTCTCTAAATTCCCAGTTGCATGCTGTGCATGTAGTACATTGTTCAGCCAGCCTTAAGACCACTTTGCACCAAGTACCCAGTGAGCCATTTCTTTGCGCAGACATTCATGCAAAACAACGCAATTGTCGAGGAATCTGTACTGACTCTATTAAACTCTGCTGCCCACAATGCATAGCTTATCTACCAGTATGTGGCCATAATGTCCAGGAAACTTATCAATGCATGTATGTACTCAAAGTCTTTCGGCATTTTCTAAAATCTGCCCAAATCCAGCATATAGGCAGGTTCATGTATCTAAAGGCACGTTCTTGTTTACAAAGTTTGGATCATGGATTGAGCCTTATCAAAGGAGTGGCTTGCTGTACATGCTTGAATACTTCAAAACGTGGGTATGTAGGGGATTGGACGACGATAAATGGATGGTGATAGTGGTACATTTCCTATGAGCACAATTGTGTAGTTAGTGGTTAAAATATATGCAATTCATCTCATCCTTGACAGGACAAAACCATGACGATATGGGATGTGTGTGTTCAACTGAAGAGCCTACCTGTATCCCAGCCGGCCTAGCTGAAGATGATCAAGATGATTACATCAAGTCTAATGGCAAGACCCCAGTGGATAACACCAGCCATTCTGTAGATACACCAGTCATCGCAGTTGATGTGGTGGTACGTTTTGTCAGTTGAAATTCAAAATTTGGGAGACAATTGTGCTGTGTTACTTGATTTGTGAGAGTGCCCAGACAATAAAGTGTGAAATATTAGCCCATTTTTTCTTTGATAATTATAAAATATTGGATGGCTTTGAGGAGGATACAAGAATATATTGCAAGAGCTATGACAATATTGAACGAGCTGAAGATGAGTGGATCATTGTTATAGCGAATGCATTACATACTGTACATGTATATTCTTGTATCCCGCGAAGAAAGCTATCCAATATTATTATTTATGTCCAGCTGACTTGATCCGAAAGAAAGAAATTCCATGCCGCTGTAAAAAATCTCCGACCGCTTCCTCGGAACTTCAACAAAATACCGGCTAACTGTTAGTGAAAGCTTTTCCAGCATCTAAAAATCTGAAAAGCTTCTTCTGGGGCAGACATGCAGTACACAGAAGATTTACTAGAGTCATACATGTCATATTGGTTACTTGCGGGATATTTTCAACGTCTTTAGTTCTCAAATTTCATCTTTGCTAACCAAAGTGAATCTCGCGCTGCTTAAAGCTGCCTTTTTGTTAAAACAGTACTGAATGCGTGTACGCGACCACTGCGATCTTTTCACTTGCGAAATGGGCCTTATTCACCAGTCGGCCATACAGAATTGAAAGTTAGGTAAAATCTTCATTTTTGGAACTTGTGAAGAGAAGTGAAAGCAAGTCAATTACTAATTAATTCAAGTCTGCTTCAAGGAATTATTTAAAATGTGTAATTAAACATTCCCTAATGTTTTAAGCCAGATTTTAAAAAAAAATGAGAGTAAAATAAGGCTGCATAAATAGTCTGGTGCCATCCCATTCAGTAGTTAACAATTTATGAAATACATTCAGAGAACTCGACAAAAATGGCCAACTTGTGCATAAGGCTCATTGGTTAAAATGCCCGGGTGAGGACAATAACAAAAATGATATTGTCATCATCCAGGTACTTTTACTGACACATTGTAATACTGCAGTCATCCGGGTACGTTATGCGAAAGCATACAATAGATTACCTGTATGCTGATTTATGTCCACCACTGGAAGCCTGATATAAATAATTATTGTCAATATGCAATTACCTGCTCCGCTTGCATGACTTAGTTTTTCTATAGTTGGATACAAGTGATCACAAAGTCTCTTGTGAGTCCTGGTCTTTGTAATGTTGAGTAGGATAGGAGTGTGTCAAACCCTTTTGTGCAGTTCAGTCTTTGTCACCCGGGCTTATGACCAACAACTGACCTCGGAAACTTAAATAAGGGAAAAATCCACAAAATACCTTGACTGTATTTGATGGCGTTGCAAGAGCTACTACAAGTATTGACTTTTTGCCTGTTACACCACTGTGGATTATACATTCACTGTGTCGTGGTTTGTAAACTCACCATTCTAAATCTGCCAGACTCCAGAGTCTGGTTTGAGTAGTATTGTGATGGATTTGTATACATGTAGGTAGGCCACTTAATTATGTCTGCTTCATGTCCTCAATTATGTTCAGTACAAAGAATGTACTGGCATGGTCTGTGCTGGATCTGCAGAATTCAGAGAAAGTCTTTGGGGAAAACTACAAAGTACCTTGGTGAAAACCAGTTCTTGTAATTGCCTTGAAACTATACCCAGTGTACAGTTTACCTCAAGAATTACGGCATTATGTCAAATTACATGTTCAACTGCAGATTTTGAAGATTTGTATGAATGGAATAATTCATTTTATCATTAAATACTTGGTTTGGAATAAATTAATAAGATAGAATGGTGAAGGGCAAAACCTACTTTGATTGGAATAAATTGTTTGTTGACAGGATGACAGTAAAGGAAAATCTCGAGAGGACTCAGAAGAGGATGATATTGATCGTCACTTCATGGTACATGGAGGGCTCAGTCCAGATATCAGAAATAAATTTGGGGTGAGTCTAAACGTGTACTCTGTGATAATCTGATGAACGTGAAGCACAATCCTGGAGTAAGTTAGCTGACTTCTGGAAGTATCAGTTGCACTGTTCACATGGTAGGGGGAAAAACGTGTAGTCCTGGTTTGATAAACTGGTTTGATCAGTGTTTATTTTTTCATTGTTTTCTCCGACATTTGCTCATGTAAAGGGTACCAGTCATTTGATGAGTATGTCATGATAAAACAGCAGCTTGTGTTTATTTTTTAGGGCTGTGCCAAATATATCAATAGTCGATCGCCTACCATATACAATAGCAGTTTTCCGAATTGACTATTCAAATATTTCTAAAATGCCTATGATGTCGTTTTAATCATCCAAGTTTGCGTCTTCACTGGCATAATCTGTCAAGTATCACCTACATGAAGTCAGCAATCAACCAAATCTGAATATGTTCTTGATACAGCTCATTGTACACCCAAATCCTGATCAGTGGACCGTTTAATTCCCAATCGATGCCCGCAAATTTCAACCAGGCGTGAGCATGCACTTACTGATTGGCACATGCAATTTCAGACTAACATGCGCAGTGTATAGGCCTATGCATGTAAGACTTGTGTTTCAAATACTGGCAAGTTTGATCAAATGCTAAATAATTCAAAAAAACACAGCGCATTTCTTTTTATTAAAAATGTGTTTTCTAGTGTTCCAAATTTAGGAATGTTTTCAGAGTTATTTGCACTGAAAAGTGAGTAGGGTTGAAGACTTGGCAACCATGTGCATGTGCATCATCGAGCCTGCTGCATATATTTTGGCAAACATACATGTACATGTACATGTAGCATTGGACACGGCATGCCTCAGTTACCACATGGAATGGATTGGGAGAGACATGTAAATGTACATGCTTTGGGAGATAGTATGGACATACATTATGTACATGTATCACTGAATCATAGGAGCATGTCATTTTATTGTACATGTAAGTGCATCAAGTTCAATCAATGCATTTCGCCAAACTGAAATTCAAAAAAAAATTCAGTTCAGCAAGATGTGTTTTTAGGCTTTTTTAAGCTTTAAGCAAACTTGAATCCTCGCTCCTGATTGGTCCATCCATGGCAACAACAGTGTGATATTATACCTAATAGCACGGTCAATATTGCACTCTGCATATCACGCTAGATTCCAAAATGCACGCGCCGTTCATTCTGCACGCACGTATTACATGTATTATGGGATAACCACTGAAAAGTTCATGTACCGCGTGCATGTTCTATCTTTACTGTGCGTCAAGTTTGCATCAAGATTTGTTATCCCACTGACGCTCGTTGAACACAGAAATTGTAGTGGCTCTTGCATCCCGCCTCATGGTACGGTATGTGGGACACAGACGCACTACATTATTCTATGTCCCACTCGCACTCGCGGGATAACTAGTCTCCAATGTTTATTTGACCGAAATATTCTGGTTATATGTATAAATGCACACAACAATTTTGAGGGGAACCCTTTAAAGATATCCCCTCCCCTTATCAGAGGGGATATTACAACAAACAAACAAAAGCATAGTCAAGCTCTGGAAACTCCCAAATACTTTCCAATAAAAATGTATTTCTCTGTCACAAGTAATCATGTAGCATGCTGAAAACAGTACATGTACATCTATGCTACATGTGACACATGTATACTGTGTTTTGCTTACTAATTACATTATAGTTGCTTGTCAGTTTGCTTCTCACATTTTAACCAATTTTTCTATTTTGTTATATGCATGTTGCATGATAAAGGTTAGATTTGTAAAGTCTTTTAGCTATGTTTTTGAAACATAATCATCCAAAATCTACTGATTGTTGCAATGAATTCAGGTTCATACATATATACATGTACATTTCCAGTATTTGGTGTCCATTAATCATCCTTCCTTTCCATTCAATTTTTGTTCCCCCCACACCCTGTACATTACCACACTGTGTGCTCAGATCCATAGTGATAGTACCGGTACGTCCCCACCTGACACTGATAGTTCCCATGACAAAGCCACTTCACTGCAGTTGTCCAATGAGGATAGTTTGAGTGATGAGAAACCATCCCCAAATGAGCAGAATGAAAATGGTAAAGCTGTCCGTGCTAGTATTACATCCGACTCCCACCTTTCTGTGGACGGTGCATCATCACCGGAAACCCATCTCCCATCTAGTTCCAACACCTTCACCAAGGCAGGAAGCATTGGAGACAACCGATCTCGTGCTTCAGCCTCCTCTCTTCAGAGGAGGATGCAAACAGGAAGCAATCTCAGCAAGGTAAAAATGACACATGCAACAGCGGTAGAGGGTGCAAGGAGGTCTCACTCAGATCCTGCAGCAACGGGAATGGTACAGCTAACTATTTCATGTCATCAGCACTGGGAGTGATATTCAACCTGCACCCTGTGTCATCTTTTTCCTTCTGGAAACTGCAAATCTTGTTTTTCCTGAACACTGCTGTAATACCAAGTTTTTTCCTAAATGTTTTACCTAACAATATTTTTTGTTCTTTTCCTGAAAATGATGTCATTTAACTTCCACTTTAAACTTCTAACAATGCTAACATGTTTCCTCTTAACCTCAAAGCATTAAGGGTGATGATTTTCAAACTGATTTGTATACAACACTTTTGTTACTTTTTCTGTCTTCTTGTAAGTGGTTCTTTTCTCGGCATATATTCCAGAATGGAGGTTTTTTTCTGATGGAATCTTGTGGTGTTCTTGGATGATATCAGTTTTCTCTCTGTTTTTCCAATCATTGCCCATATATTCCTCATCTTAATCCCTTCTCAAACTCCCTGTAACTATCAATGTGAATGTTGGAAGTGGATTCTTCTCAGGGAAATTCAACTGCACTTCTTAACATCTTGTTCCTCTAAAATGGTTTCTGTGGGATGAATGGTTTTCATTGCAAGTGGAATCTTGTCAGTATTTTATATTATACCGTTTGAGGTCCACATACAGTAAGTGTGCACTTACTTCCAATGTTGAATTACTTCTATAACTTCCCTACATTTTGGAACATTGTTTCCCCTTTTAGTATCTAAGTTCTATTGGAATTTTAGTTTTTAATTCTCCAAGAAAGCAATGTTATAACATTGTAAATATTGATTGGTTCCTAAATTCTTTCAAGGTTTTTTCAGTAATCTCAATAGTGAATTTCGTCTAAATGTTCATTGTTTCTGTCAGTCTGCTGTGATTATATATTTAAAGTCATTTTTTAATTCAGTAACTTTTCTTTTAATCCCCGCACATGATGTAACCCACATTTTGAAGTAGCATTAACAATGCAGCATTACTTACATTCTTGCAATCATCTGTAAGTACTGTATTTGATGCATGTTTAATCCTGACATGTTACTTCTATTAACCTTGTGAACTAATAGATCATTTCATGTCTTGAATTCATGATTTGATATGATTTGTGGATTTGGACGGTAGAGTGGAGATGAAGTTGATTAACTCATGCTCCAATCTTGCCTTCTTACATTTCTGTGTTGCTGCATATTTTTGTGCAGGTGTCAGCATTTTCATTTTAACCTTTTTGTCTTGTACAGGCATACATGTGTGCCTGTTCCTTTTGAATCATGTAGTTATGTTGTCCATTTTGTTATATCTCTTATTTTTTTATTTCTTTGTTGAATTATTCATAATATTATGTAGGTGATAAATCATTGTTTTTTTTTCTTTCATCTGTAGGGAAGCTCGGTCAGCATGACAAGCTTGTACAGCCAGGCAGGAGAGGAGAATTATGGGAAATATGTCATTACTGGAGACATCAACTTTGGGCTACATTACAACTACAAAACCAACATCTTTGAGGTCAAGATCAAAGCGTGTCGTGACCTTGCTCCAGTGGATGTCAAGAGAATCAAATCAGACCCGTAAGAATACAGCTGTCATCTTTAATTCAGCTTGCATTATGAGCTCCTATAGTGGTATTTATTGTATTGGGTACACAAGATTTAATGATGGTTGACTGCTGTGACGTTTGACACAGCGTTGTTTATGCCCCAAAAAATTTGAGGGCGCTGCTCTGTGGCGACCACCCGTGTGCATTTTCTGTCTCGTCTTTTTAGTCTTTTCGTCACGTTTTTAACCCGTGTTTCGTAAGTTTTTACCCTTTTTGATGTGTGTGAGGTGTTATACTAACCTCAAGGAACATGTTGGTGCGCCAGTTTTTATTCTCTGCACTGTTAATCGGTGTAATTCGTCATGCTTCTACTCAACTAGCTGAGCTCCCTGCGAGTACAGTTTATGAACGGCCATTGCCCATTGTGTATACACGGGAGACATTGTTAAAACTGAGGTCAACGGTCACAGCCACACCTAGTCTGGAGACGGACATTCCACCTGAGGCCCGCTCGACCCAACGTAAAAGAGGCAAGAAAGGAGGCATCAGAGTGCGACTTCGTCGGCGGAAGTACAATCCTCCTCTACCTTCAATCATTTTAGGTAACACTCAAAGCCTTAGAAATAAACTTGATGAGCTGAAAGCGTGTACAAACTACCGCTATGAATTCAGAGACAGTAGCTTAATGTGTTTTAGCGAGACCTGGTTCAATCACACTGACACCACTTTTGATACGAGCATTGAAGGCTTTTCATGTGAACGATTGGACAGGACCGCAGAGTCTGGCAAATCTACTGGAGGTGGCGTATGTGTATATGTTAACAAGCGCTGGTGCACCAACGTAAGTGTTGTGGAACGCTTATGCTCACCCGACATTGAACTGCTCACGGTTGGTTTGAGACCCCACTACCTACCCCGAGAATTTAACCAAATTTTTGTAACAACTGTATATATTAGCCCTTCTGCAGATGCCGACATTGCCTCATCAAAAATTGCCGAACTGATAAATAATCTTGAAACTCGGGCTCCCGATGCGGTGAAGCTTGTTTTAGGTGACTTTAATCACTGTGAACTTGAGCATACACTTCCTCACTATGACCAGTATGTTACGGTTCCCACCAGGAAAGACAAGATTCTAGATAAATGTTATGGCAACATCGGAAAGGCCTACAAGACACATGGAAAAGCAGGTCTCGGCCTCTCTGATCACAACATTATTCATCTTCTTCCTGAATATAAACAAAAGCTGAAACAACATAAACCTATTATCACAAGAACCAGGAAGTGGACAAACGAAAATATTGAAACCCTCCGAGGATGTTTTGAATGCACAGACTGGGATGTTTTTTTCGGCCAAAACTCCATTGATGAAGCCACAGAAGCGGTGGGAGACTACATCAAGTTTTGTGAAAACTTGGTTATTCCTGAGGTGGAACACAAATTTTTTCCGAATAACAAACCGTGGATAACCAGAGAAATCCGCTGCCTTCTGGAAAGGAAACACAAAGCTTTCCGTGATGGAGATCTTACTGAAAAGCGGAGAGTGCAGAGGGAGATAACCAAACATATTCGTCAAAGCAAGAAGAAATATGGAAAAACCATCGAGGACAATTTCAGACAGCACGATTCAAAAAAAGCTTGGGCTGGACTAAAGTCCATCACAGGAATTGGTAAGAAAACTAACTCCTACATTCCAACCTGCGACCCTGACACCTTCGCCAATGATCTTAATCAGTTCTACACCCGTTTTGATGACTCTGACTTCAGTCTAGTCAACAACCAGCTTTGCGACGATCTGCGGAGCCAAGTAGACGACTCCAATAGGATTGAGCTCAGCGTTCCTGCGATTGAGAAATCTTTCAAGCGTATCAAGGGCAACAAGGCATCAGGTCCTGATGGTGTTTCTGGGAGAATCCTGAGGTCCTGTCATAAAGAGCTGTCTTATGTATTTCATAGACTGTTTCAGTGGTCTCTGGACTCTAACATAATTCCCAAAATTTGGAAAACCTCAACTGTCATACCGATTCCAAAAATACCCAAACCCACAGCTATGAATGACTTTAGACCTATTGCTCTCACATCGTCAGTTATGAAATGTTTTGAAAGTGTAATTAAGGATCTTATCTTGGTTCAGACAAAGGCTTACACTGACCCTGCCCAGTTTGCCTATCGTTCGGGCAGAAGTGTGAATGATGCCATTTTAACACTTGTGCATTACATTTATGAACATTTGGATAAAACTCACAACTATGTCAGAACTTTGTTTGTAGACTTCTCATCGGCTTTTAATACAATTCAGCCTCATTTATTGACTGGAAAATTGGATAGAATGTGTGTCAATCCCCATATCTGTTTGTGGATTAACAGTTTTTTAACTGATCGAATTCAAAGGGTTTTATTTATGAACTCAGTTTCTAATTACATCCATATTAGTACTGGAGCCCCTCAAGGCTGTGTGTTGTCCCCAGTGTTATTTTCACTTTATTCCAGTGACTACAGAACCGGTGATACATCATGCCCTATAATTAAATATGCTGATGACACCTCTCTGACGGGATTGATTTCTATGAATGATGAATCTGTTTATCGCAAAGAGGTAGCTAATTTTGTTAAATGGTGTGATCTTAATTATTTAACACTGAATGTGTCCAAAACTAAAGAAATTGTGTTTGACTTTCGTAAATCGAAGACTGGTATTGAACCTATTTATATTAATGACACTAGGGTTGAAATGGTCGATAATATTAAGTATCTTGGTACCTCCATTGACAACAACTTGAATTGGAAGATCAATTCTCAGAAACTTGTGGCTAAGGCTAACCAGAGGATGTTTTTTGTCCGGAAGCTGAAATCATTCAATGTTTGCAAAGACATTTTATTTCTTTTTTATCAAAGCGTTATCCAATCTATCATCACCTTCTGTATGATTTCCTGGTACGGTAACCTAAGAGCCATGGACAGACACAGACTGGAACGTGTCACCAAATTGGCCTCCAAAACAATTGGCCTGGACGTTAGGGATTTACATTGTATGTTTGAATCTGCAATTATCTCTAAGCTACATGACATAATGCAAGATCCTTCCCATCCGCTCCATTCTTCGGTGGTTGTCAACAAATCAGGAAGAATTCGCCCTCCACGAACCCGCACTAAGCGCTTCAGAATGTCATTCTTGCCTAATGCATGCCATCTATTCAACACTCAATTCAAAAGATAATCCCCTGGTTTTTTTTTTGGGTTTTTTTTTTTTTTTTTTTTTTTTTTTTTTTTTTTTTTTTGTCTTGTCCTTTTTTCCTGGTATGCTGGCATCCACTGACGTGTTTTTATTGTAAAGAGCTCTTTTTAATTGTGTCTCTTACTAGGTTCCTTGTTATAACAATCTAGTGTTTTTATTTGTTGGATGACAAACTTGTAATTTTTGATAGTCTGTAATTATAATCTCTGTCATATTGTCATATTGTGTTAATATTTTATAGTACCTTTTGTTTTTTACATCAAATTTTATTTATTTTGCATTCGTATATATCTATGGTCTTATTGTACATGTATAATGCACACTGGAAATCAATTTTCATGTTTTTTACGTGACGAGTATAATAAATTGAATTGAATTGAATTGAATGATGCATGGCTCCTCAAGCAGAGCTAATGATGGCATGTGTTATATGAGGGTATAAAAGCACATCGTTCATCATACCAGTCAATATTGGTTGTCTTTTATTACCTCAATAAGTCAATAAATCAAGATGTGACTCGTTGTGCAAACAATCATTTCAATCTTCTTGGCGTAACCGACAAGAATTCAAATCCGTATTGTGTCTCTTCTTGCATTTACAGGGTGAGTCTCAAAAAGCGGAACCCAAACCCCCAGAAATATATTTCATATTTAGAAAATATGTAGCACCAAACATAATAATGACTGGAAAGCCAATTTCATAAGCTACTTTTGTAAGCTACTTTCAGATAAAAAAAAATTACTGAAATTGCTCAATCCGTTCAAAGAATATCACCATTTAAACGCAATGACTCTAAAACCTGTTTCATCAAAACAGGCAGTTTATTGTGTATTCTGACTGTTTGGAACAACAAAGAAAATGACACAAAATACTTGTTTCAACAACTGTCAACAACAGTAGTATACAATATCTTTATTAACAACCACGGTTAGGCAAACAATATGATTTATAAAATCCACTTTTTTAAAAAGACGGGCCTTCAAAGGGACTTTGTTGAATATTTTTAACTTTTAAACTGAGGTTTTATCGCTGGTGATATTTGAAGACAACTGTGACGATGATTCTTGAAATCGCATTTTTGGAAGAAAGAGGTTTTAGGGTCATTGTGTTTAAATGGTGATATTATTTGAACGGATTGAGCAATTTCAGTAATTTTTTCATCTAAATGTAGCTTATGAAATTGGCTTTCCAGTCATTATCATGTTTGGTGCTACTGGTACCTTTTTTTTCAAATATGAAATATAATTTTGGGGGTTTGGGCTCTGCTTTTTTTGACTTGCCCTGTATTTATTAAAATCTCTGAAAATCAGCAACAGGGTTATTCAAACAGTATGATGATGATGTTTGTCCTTCGCGAGCAAAGATGACCACAACTTCTTCATTGTTAGTTGGTGTTGTGAGTCCGGAGATGGCTAAACAAGCCAATCCGTACATGGAAGAGGCGTTGGCAGGGGGGGGGGACACTGAAAAGAAGGGGGCTGGCTAGGCTTGCCGAGTCTTGCACGCCTGACGTTTCAGCATGGCCTCACCGATCCTGTGATCTTCGTAGGTTGTCAATCCAGCATTGACCAGACTGTGCCAGGACCTGCTGTGTTTGGCAGTGTCTTCCTCAGGCTGATGTCACAGCTCATGAGAGAAACCCTCAGGGTGTCTTTGAAGCGCTTTCTTTGTCCTCCCTGGGAGCGCTTTCCCTCCTTCAGTTTACCATAGAGCAGCCTCTTTGGTAGGCGCTCATCAGGCATCCCAACTAAGTACCCCGGCCATCTGAGCTGGGCCCTCTTGAGAATGTTGGAAAGCTTGTCATTTCTTTGACCAGTAGTGTTTGGCCTTTAAGTCTATCCTCACTGTACACATATACACAGATGTTGAGCCCCATTGCGTTTAGAATGCTGTGTAATAACTCATGCCTGGATAGTTCTTTGATTCTGCTGTGGAATAATGTATTTTAGTTTCATTAGTCCATGTAATTGCCTTTACTCAAAATAATTGGGGAAAAAAAAATGAAGATTATGGTCTGATGACTCGAGATCTTTATATGTTCTGTATCAAAGTATCTCATATTGTCATGGTTGACATGTAATGAGATTCATTACAATTCTTTTGTAAATAATTGAATTAGGTATGTGAAGACCTACCTTCTTCCGGACCGAACCAAAGCCAGCAAACGGAAGACGTTTGTGCGTAAGGGTACAGTCAACCCCCAGTATGAGATGACGTTGAGATATCACATCTCTCAGAGTGAGCTGGAGACCAGGACACTCAGTGTGACTGTATGGAATAATGACGCCTTTGGAAGGAATGACTTCCTGGGAGAGGTTCTAGTCAACATGGATTCTATCAAGTTGGATGACTACAAGCCACGATGGCATCAGCTTTGCAATAAGGTAGCGCATCATTTTTTTGCATTTTTTTTTACCAACTGAGGAATAGAACGTGCACCTTTTCAATCTCAGCTGTATGTTTTAACTCTGTACATGTACACAAGGCTTTCTATAAAGCTTAGAATTAAGAGGGGGCTGGAACACTTAGACCCATTTTAAAAATGTTTCAAAGAGTTTGTCTAAGATATTTGACAATTTGGACGCATTTGACCTTTTTTTTATACATTTTAAAACATCAAATTTTAAAAACATCTTACCATAAGGTTGGTTTTGACTTGTCATGTTTTTTTTCAAATGTCTGAGGTGTTTGTTTTTTTAAGAGAAAACTGGTTACGGATGTAAAACGGATACCATTTTTTGCTGTACTTTTTTGGTTAATATTGAAAAGCTGAAAACATAACAGGCTGTGTCATACATGTACAAGGCTGTAACTCATTGGGATTATAGGTTATTTAGATTGCAAGTTGTAACATCACTGAGGTTGAATTTTCCTAGCAAGTTTATTTAGGGTTTACTTTTATCTTTACATTTGCCAGTCCCAACCAGCAGAGGGCGCCGTTGCATACAAGGGTGACTTGACTGTCTCATTGATGTACTCGGATACAGTCGCACCTGAGGTGGAGGAAAAAGACTCCAAGAAGAAAAAGAAGAAAGATAAAAGCAAGAAGTTGGGCAAGAACCAGCAAGCAGCTGAAGGGAAGGGGCTGTTGTATGTCAAGATTATTGAAGCAAGGAACTTAGTCGGTGTGCGGATGGGTGGCTCATCCAACCCATTTATCAAAGGGTAAGTTTCATCCCTGCTGACAATTGGGAATGAATTTGCATCGGGATGATGTAAATCAATTTTAGGTTTGCCCTTAACCAACATATAAACACTGTATACTCAGTGTGTTGCCTCCCAAGTGAAAGGTGGGGAAAAAACACTTGAAGGGAAAAAAAAACACTTGAAAGATGGAAAAAATAAAATGAAGGTCGTGGGTGCGAGTCCCACCTGAGTGATTTGTTTCCAACTTTCACTTGGAGGGTAAGACACTGAGTATACAGTGTTTATACGTCAATGAAGGGCAAAACCTAATATTAATTGTGTCATTGTTATCCAAATTACAAAATTATTGTTTCTCTTCAGCATCTCATTTCAACCTGCAAGATACGTGTATGTTTCTGTTGAAAGTTTACACTGATATCAAACGAAAAATATATGTACGCATTTGGAGGCCTTTAAAACAATAACACATTGTTATTTAGAAAAAACTTCCTACTTAGATGTAAGCATGCATGTCTAAAAAGTACAAACTGCTAAGGCTTTGTCACCTTATGCAAAAGATGTTTGAAAATGTCAACAAATGGATAGCTAAGGCAAGGGCTTGTCCCCCAATGGATGTTTTTCTATATTGTGAATTGTTTGTATTAATTTTAGCTGTTTCATGTCTACAGCTATTTGGAGCCAGACAGGTCCAAAACAGGGAAACATAAAACAGCAGTACTGCGCGGAACTTGCAATCCTCGCTGGGACCATGTCATGAAGTTTGAGAATGTCTCTCTGAGGACGCTGAAGGAACGGTGCTTGGAATTGACGGTTTGGGACCATGAAACACTCTCATCTAACGAGTTCTTGGGTGGAGTAAGATTAAACTTAGGCACAGGTGAGTTTGTATTGATTGCTAGATTGACAAGGTATACAAGACAATGTGCTGCATCAATTAACGCCAGGTTATAAATGGTCAGTGAAAAACAAGGCATCGATTTGATGTATTATTAAATATTTTGATGCTTCTTCTTTTTCAATATAAAGATCTGATACAGCTGCTCAGCAAAAACAAAATAACGCAGCGTTGGCAGCTGAGAGCCAACAAGCAGTATACCTTGCATGACACTGTTGCTATACCTCCAAATGTCTGTATTGAATTGGCTTGTGTTTCATTACAGGTGAGTACCAGAGGAAACCAGCAACCTGGAATGATGCTACAGGAGAGGAGATGAAAGTATGGGAGCAGATGATGAAGGCTCCTGGGCGATGGCATGAGGCTACCATCGTACTCAGACCAAGTATGGTTAGTAGGTTGCAGTACATGCAATGATGCCTGTATCCAGACGTCACCATCTGCAACCACAGACTGTACTTTTGAATGAAGTATCTGTATTAACTGTTCAAGTAGCATGAGGTCCAGACCAATCCAAGCCTTCAATCACTAGTTGTACACTCATTGAGGCCCCCTTCAATGGCGTAAGCATTGTGCCAGGTATTCGGATAATCTGTCATTGGGCAGTCGTTTTGTGAAATTGCTGGCGCAGTGCTTTTGTCTGTGACTGACATCTGTGAATGTGCAGTGATAGCGTACTGGGATTGGTCTACATCTGACCAGGGACTCTGTAGATCAACAGGAGTTGTTGTGTGTAACCTAGCAGTTAAGAATGATAATTAAAGGACACTCATATTTCACTAGTCCATGTGAAAACGGGATTTTAAGCTATGCATGGGTGTAAAGGTACAATAAGGAACAAGTATTTGTGGACATGTACAAGCCAATCTCTTCTGTGAAGAAGTGTGGTTCTGAATAGGAACTGGAGGTGACAGTTTTTCTTGACGTTTCAGATAGTGTATTCAGTGGAATTAATCTCTTCTGTTTAGAAGTCCAGTTCTGATGAAAAGAAACTGCAGATGAGAATTTGTCCATCCTAAACGTAAAACAATTCTCACCTGCAGTTTCTTTTCATCAGAACTGGACTTCTAAACAGAAGAGATTAATTCCATGGTGTACTCACAAAATTATCTGTGTTCCTCCATGTACAGTATGGGGTGTGATCCAAGAAAGTTATTGTGTTGCTCTATGATGATGAAAGCATAGTTGACTGGTTCCCAGACCTTTCAATATATTCCAAACTTTTGAGAGGGGCAGGAACCAGTGTAGAAGTTCGAACCAGGGCAGAGTCCTACATGGAAATCAGTGTTTCACAGCATTCCAAAATCCCTAACAAATAAAAAAATGGGTGTGACATTTGTTTGAGAAGTTGGCGGGAGCTTGAGGTTTGCTGATGACTTGCAAACTTGATGACATACTGCTAGATTTCTATGCAAATGAGTGATATAAGAACCAGTAAGACGTGTTTGTGTGGCATTGGCTTAGTCATCAATCGGATGAGGGTACATGCATATTGTAGTCATCAAGGAATTACAAGATGTCAGCAGGACATGAAAAATGAAGAAATGTCAGCGGTTCCGAGAAGACTCTTATCAGCTATGTATTCTAAGCCTTGCTAACTGATGGGGTCAATGACTATCTGAATTGATAGCATCAATTTCAGTCTTTAAATGCTGCCTCCCGACGATTAACACTCTTGAAAATCATTCTGCTTGTGGTTTATTTGTAACTGTTCAACATTTCAAAAAAGTTCCAACAGTAATTTGAATACCCAAAGACTTAAAGAGTAAGGAGACTCCCTTGCCAATAACTGCCCATAGACTTACAGCTCTGAAGTATTTGTGCCACATGTTCTACCTGGCTAACAGAAGCAAATCACAATGTCTGTTCCCATTCAGATTCATGTGTGGTCTGTTTTATCAAGTAAACAGTACTTTTTAACACAATTCAAAACAATTCCAATCGTAATGAAACAGTAACAAAATAACACATGATTGGTAAGCACATGCCTATTATACATCAGCTATTATAAATCTATGTATTTAGTTATAGATAAATCAGGTTATAATTAGAATCTGTAAAAACAACTAAATGTATTTAATTGTTTATTTTGAAACATTATTAATTTGATTATTTTCAATTGGGTAAAGTTGAAATGCAGAAATGAACACAAAAAGTCTCTATGCATATAGTAATTTTTTGATAATTCAGCACTTTGATATCAGTCTATGCATGTGTAGCTGTTTACAATCTTTACTTGATTTAGAAGCAATAGATATGATTTTTATTCCAAGCAATTTCACACGGTTCAATAAGTGTTTTCAGGCCATTTTTTATTCAAAAGGCCGAATGACTTTTTTGATTACATTAAAGTGGCCTGTGTCTTTTACACATTATAGAGAAATATCTGATGCAACATCTGGAAGAGAGATTGAACTCTGTATGAGACATCTATGCATACATGATGCATGATCAACTACATTTATTGAGTTCACGCACCAGTCACTGTGAACCTCTTAAAAAAGGATGTCGGAATGTTTCGCATTATTAACAGTTACTTGGCATGTTTCTCCCCCTTGCCATAACTGGCATGATTCTTAATATAGAGGGTGACCCAAAAAAATGCAACCCCAAAACATTTGCCTTTTACATTGTAAAAAAAAAAGGATCGGTGAATGTTTATGTTTTGGGTATCCGATTAAAACTGAGAGCTCTTTCTTTTAAATACTGTAACAATCATGAAAATAACACTTTGGGTTGCTAAGAAAATGCCAGTTATGTAAGAGAAGTCATTTTTCATGCTGTACACACACAAAAATTACCACAGTAAGGGATTTTCACTGTACCCATTTAGTGCATGTCTTAATCCTTACAAACAACACGGCACATATTACAAGAGTACAAATGAATGTGATGAAAATACCTTTAGTATTTTCCACCTCAACAGGTATATCTTTTTAGTCCTATGTGAAACCTTTCATCATCATTAATATGTCAAACTATTAAATACATTACACAAAGGAAGGATCATTGCACAGTAGGCTTACAGTAAAATGTTTCACTGTGAGACATGACTACTTTGACACAATTGGCATTTTCTCAGCAACCCAAAATGTTATTTTCATGATTTTTTAATATTTGAAAGAGAAAGCTCCTAGCTTTAATCGATACCCAAAATATAAAAATCCACTAATCCTTTTTTTTTTAAAGGCAAATGTTTCAGGGTTGCATTTGTTTTGGGTCACCCTATATATTGATTTGTTTATTCTTAACAATAATACTAATGACAGGGATGCTGCATCTGTAGATTCATGTGGTGTATTTAGCTAGGATTGATCACCAATGGCCTTCTTTTAACTTATTTCTACCAACTGCATATTTTCTGGCCAATTTCACTTTGCGAGAGTGCCTTGAAGTAAGATATATCATGCTCTCCTTAACGTGAACAAAAACAGTCTTTGTTTTGGATTACTTATTTTCAAAGTATTGCGTAAAAGAACAAAAACTTTAAATTCCAATGTTTATCTCAGTTTTATCATAAAAACATAATAGTCTATTGTGCTACTTTTGTGTTTAATTGTATCATTAGCATTGTATATCAATTATGGAATCTAAAATATTTGCTCTTTTGCTTATTTTCTAGTTATTTATACTATTTTGCCTCAGTGAAATAACTGTTTCACTGAAACGTCTAAATTACAAATAATTTCAAATTTATATTTTCTAGAGGCCAGATGTTTACACCCCTACACAAAGTTCATGGCAGATAAAGATACAGTCCATGTATCTTTTATAGGTCGGCTCAGCATAACACAAAGTGATGTAACACTTTGAAAACTCTGCTCAGTTTATTCATATATTTGCACAGTGCATTGATGTAAATGCGCACTGTCTGTGTTGCCTTGATATATGTAGCTGCATTTCTATAAACCGTCAACCTCCCCCCCCCCCCCCCGACATCACAAACAGGAGCATGGGGCGTTACCATTAGGCAATTATGTAATATTTTTTCTGCATATCGGTAAGGGAATGTTTTGTCGTTTTTCATGATTAGTTCCTAACGTCTTTCAAGTACATGTAGTTTATTGGCAATTTCATGCATTTCCATCATCAAAATATATATCAATCATTTCACTCTATTTTTGTACATGTATTCCCGTGGTGTATTTATCATTCTTATTCAACTAATTCTATTAATTGTCTTTGCAAAATATTGCCGGTAAAAAAATATGTAAAGAAATCATATTAATATTGTTCTTGGGTATATAATGCGGAGGATGATTTTACACTGAATAAACTATTTATTGATAAAACAGCTTTGGGCGTTGGTGATTTGTTTAGGGGCGTTTGCGCAGTACTCATGAGTGTTTTCACGAGACGCTATAGGCCTATTGCGAATAAAGCCTCGTTTTAGGGAACTTTTAGTGTTCATTGCATTTTAGTAAAGCGTGTATACAATTAATAATACATGTAATTGGTTTATTAGCTTGAATTACTCCGTACGCACTAACAGGTCAACATTATTAATTCAGTACAGTAATTGCCACCAGGGTCAGTTGCGCACCATTAGGTGCGTTCAGATGACCAGCGAGTTAATACCAAAATCCATCGCCCTCGACGCCTTCAAGAAGAAAAATAAAAAGTATCCAAAAACCTAATCATACACTGCCAAGACAATTCAGTGGACAAGATTAACCAACTTGTTCTGCGAAGGTATGGACAATGATCACCACAATGACAATATTTGGTCAAAAGTGCACATGTTCAAGAAATTAAATTTTGAGAACATCAGTGGTTGTCTAAGGTTGGTTATGCTTGGCTTTTTTAACGCTCTGGCCATTTAAACTGGATAGGCATATCTTTTTATATTTTTTGTTTTGCAAGGATAAAATGCAGCCGACTGATGTTTCAAGATAGTGGTCATGTTTAACTTGATGAATATGCAGAAGCGGATTTAAGGGTTCATGGAGTGAATTTTTTGAGGAACATATTTTGTGCAACTTAAATGTATGAAAAATATTGGACATCCCTTTTTAGGTTAATTTTGTGGAAAACTACACTTGAAATATTTTTAAAAATTCCATGCTTTTTTAGACAAATGAGGGCAGAGGGCACTGATGTCATTTCAGGAAGACGCTGTTCAGTTTAGGGGTTTTCTGTTCAAATTGTGAACTCAAAATTTGCTCATTGAAAATAATTGAGAAAAGTTTGCACACTACATGTAGATGACGCAACAAATCACCCAAAAAAAAAGAACATTTACGACAGCGAAATATCCCGAATTCCGGCAACTTGTGGTGGTGTAATTGCCGTGTATTGAGGTTTCTGTCTGAAATGAAATCTCAAGAATACGGAAATTCGCATTAACTTAAATCCTGGCACCAAAATACCCTTGAAAATGGCACACGAAAATTGAAAATAGGATTTAATGGGACACAATGGTGCATTGCATTTTAGGGCTGCATTAAACAAAATGACATTGCATGGCCATGTAATTGACCAATGGTGGTTTTAAGGGGGAGCTTTAGCCCCGCAAAAAAATCTGGATCCGCCCTGCTAGACTCCCCCCCCCCCCCCCCCCCCCAAAAAAAAAAAATTGGCTCTAGAACCGCACCTGTAACTGACTCGGGCCCAGGGCCTCCCACAAAATGCTTACCAAACGCTTCCCGTTGGGGAAAAGTTGCTGCAAGTAGCTTGGCCAGAATGTGAAGATCAGCAATGTGAATTCTAGGTCTGCTCAGTTTGTATTCTGCACGTTTCTGGCATAATCCCTTACACTTACTCTATGCGATCGAAATATGTTCTATCCGACTGACACAAGGGACAGAATTGTTTACTCGGGAAGATCGAGAGTGTTCACTCAAGTTTCGACTGATTAAGTGATTCTTCTTGAAAGTACTTCAAACGAAAAATAGGGAGAATGATTGTGCCTTTCCAAAAACTGGAAATGTACCTGTAGTACTGTACGTTAATCCTGAATGTATGTTATTTTGACGCGATTTCTCGATTAAATATGGAAGTACGCAGTGTGTCCTTTTAAATCAACCGGGGACTTAAATCCCGGGCAATGGGGATATGTACTTAGAAACCAAAAAGGGCGGATTTTGAGGTATTTTGTTACTTTCCAACAACCAAAAAGTATTCATTAACACTGAAAAACAGAGGGGGAAAAGGTACAAAAGCTTTAATGCGCCGTTTTGATGTAAAGTGAAGGCGGGTAATTAAGTATACATTAAGACGTATACATTTGTATAATGAAAAGCGCCCCCAATGTAATGTGGTGTCCAGCAAGCACCCCCCTCCCCCTCCCCCCCCCCCTTACGTTTCGAATTTCCACGGCCGGGCAAATTTTGGATTTTAGACATGTACGCTAGCGAGGGGGGGGGGGGAGGGGTGCTGGATGTTACCGCTGGGGGAGAGAGGGGAGGGGATAGGGGGTGGGGCGGCCTGTGGCGTAGCTACGGGGGGGGGGGGGGCGGGGGGAGGTTGTTTTTGGGGGGGAGGCCACTGGAAATTTGCTAGTCCTTTTTAACGAACGGCCAAATTTTCACGAGTGCCCATTAGTGTCCGCTTTGAAGAGCGCCCAATAGAACGATAACGTCCAGCCCCCCCCCCCCTTCGAACCTTTTGATTTTACGGAGGCCAGGTGAAATTCGGCGCCCCCTCCCACTCCCCCTCCTCCCCCCCCCCCTCCTCCCCCAAACAAATGAGGATATTTTTCGACAACACTGTTGGTGTTATTGGATAGGTCAGTGGAGTAGAGATAATGGTTTGTCATAATTGGTCACCATTAAAGAAATTCTCACCATCTCAATTGGAAAACTGAAGTCCGCAACCCTCTCCCCGATCTTTTGCTGTAAATTTCTAGACATCATCGTTATGACATTGGACCGTTAAATTTTTAACATAACAAGTTGTATTGAAGTAATAATGAAAATATTTAACTGGATGAATTTGAGGCTACTCACCACAGGGATTCGAGCAACACTTTATGTGAGGAAATTCAGGGGGAAACCCGGGAAAGACTTTGGTGTTGGGTGGGCCTCCTAATTGCGTGATGCCTCCTGCAACTTGAATGGTAACGTTCGTCCGGAGATTACCAAAATCTAGTGTTTCACTACTGCTTCAAAGATCTAGGGCACAGAAAATCTACACCATGTCTTACGTTTGCGGTGAAAAATTAGTGTGAAGAAAACAAATGTTACATCTGACGCAGCAGCGACTTTTGAACGTTGCATGCATGTCCACATTCCAGCATTGAATACAACCATTTACTATCATTTGAAAATGAATGCTGCCTTTCATTGTATCAGCATTCAATTAAAGGAGACATTTAATTTCACTGTTTGAGCATTCTTTCGACAAATAAGTTCATTAAAATTCAAATATACGTCTATAGTCGTATTTCATTCAAGTTTAAACCAGTAGGCCTAGCAAGGGATAAATCACGAATTCAGTTTCATCAATTGTCGAACATTTTTCACATTTGCGCTCCAAATTCTGTGGTATGTGTTTTCAAATTCCTAATTACCTCCATTAAAGGCAGATATTTCGAGGAGAAATCAATTTTGTTAACGAGGTTTAACGTAATAGAAGTACATATCAAGATGAATGCAACTGGTACGGAGGGGCTGAATGATTACCTACGGGTAACAGGCATTTCAACTCTGCCTTCTAATTTTTAACAGGTTAAGTATTAATTAAAAGATAACAGTCAACGGGAAGAATCCAATTAAAACAAAAGGAAATAATTGAGAACGCAACGCATGGCACAAAAGCAACTCACACTCATGACAATTGTGAACTCACTCAAACAAGCCAATGAAGCCATATTTACAATGTAAATCGAATTATTTTTAAAATGGCATTGATTGCCCTTAAACGAAAAACAACCAAGACGCCATACAGCTACAAAATCATGTCCCGATGTGCTTGGTTGGTGTACAAAAATGCTATCGTTATAGTCTTGGCTGCAGGTACATTTTTCTTGGTAGCCGTGATGATCTGTGCAACAGAGTTGTTTACTTTTTGCACACTAGTAATACGTTTTGATCGCGCGTCAATGATTGTTCTGTGAGCGACACAACGACGCTGCCCATTGGTGAATTGTTTGTCGAAGTTCTTTTTTCCTCCAGTAATAGATGACCACATTCAACCAGCTGTTACTAAACAAAACGGCCTTCGAAATAACGTTATAAGCTTCTTGGAGGATGACTTGTTGAGTGTATAACACAAGCAGGATGATTGATGGAGTCCAACAGAGGACCACAGATCCTGTGATAATGAACACAGTGGTTGCTGATTTAGTACTCATTCTCTGTGGTGTATTCTGCTCCTCCATCGAACAGCTGATGTGTTGTTGGGCTGAAATGCGTCTTGCCTGACGTCTCGCTACGTGAAGAATGTACAGATAAATTACAAGAATTATAATGAGTGGGATTGCCAGAGAAATGATTGCTGTGTACTGATACACATCACGGAAAACATAGTTACAAATGAAGTAAGTCTCCTCTGTCACCGTAGCTGGTGTCACAAACCCAAAGAGAATAGCGGATTCTAGCAGTGAAAATGCCCATACCAGGGCTACAGTGATCTTGGATCTTCGTGGCGTCATGATGTCATGATAACGTAGTGAATGCACGATGGCTATAAACCGATCCACTGTCAACAGAAGAAGCGATAGGAAACTGATTTGTAGACAGCCTGGGTAAATTATTCCCCACAATGTGCAGAGAAAATCTCCCAACACCCACCGCTTGTTTGCAATTTCAATCTCATTCGGAAGAGCGCAGAAAAGTCCAATGCATAGATCGGCCATAGTGAGGGATGTCATATAGAGTTTGGTGGAGTCAGGAAGGGTGCTGAAGCGACGAAGAACAAACAGAGCGAAGGAGTTCAGAAGAACAATCAGAATGATGACGAGTATCATCAACACGTTAGCAAAAATAGTCAGCGATTCAGGTCCGTCCCAATGCCTTTCCGCAGGAAACACTGTCGTTGAATTCATGGCGAGTTTCCTCGGTAACCAAAAAGTTTGAAAAATGTTGACGTTGGCGCACTTGGCTGATCTCCGGTGTTTATTGTGAACTGATCTCGGGATTTCATTCACCGATATAACTTAGACCTTGCGATCATTTAATTGTCCACTTCTGTCCACTTTCAGTTTTATCCACAAGAAGTGCTTATATTAATTACCAACAGAACGAGGTTATAATTGAATCCACTTGGAGATAGCCAGGAATGGACTTGTTCCTCTGCCTTCTACCAATGCAATGACTGTTGCCCTGCATTCAACACATGGTTAGTTGTACGCTTTCGAAAAAAAACCTCTGTGGATGTCGTTGTCATGACAACGGTATTTTGATTAAATTATGAATATTTAGTAGACAAATTATTAAAGTCTTTGTTCAGAGAGACCTGAATAATTAAGCTTTGGGTAATTTGGGTGGATCGTAAATGACTCAATTCCGGTGAAACTGCAAACAAGTTATGATATTTAGAATGCCTACTTATCTTGGAAGTGTGTGACCAGAAATACTCTTCCAGTCTAAATTAGATTTAAACAGCATTTCTTTTGGGTTTTCCTGGCCATATTCAACAACATTTCAAATTACGCAATTTTCAAAATTCATATCAAAATAGGGTTTCGGTTTCAGAGATATTGCTTCAAATTTTGTTTTCGTGCACACACATTAATTCGTTCTCAGAATTCAAGTTCGGTTTTCAAGTCATTCTTCTCGAAAGGCTTTCAAGTAATCATCTTTAAGTTGAATTTCTACCCATCTATCTGCAATTTGTGCAATCACAGCAACAGTCTTCGAAGTGAGGAGTTTGTAGCAGATCGTTTTTTCTGCTTCGATGATGGCCCATCAATTTTAACTTTTAAGTGTTCGCTTCAATTTTTTTCACTAGGTTCACATTTTGTTATTGTAAATTGTTCATGTGTTACGTGTTGTCAAAGCGACATGTTTGCTTTTATTTGTCTTAATTTATTAATTAATTCCATCTCATCATTAATGTTCAATTCTTTTTCAAGTTGCAAGGTAGTCTCTCATCTCTGGAATGTCTGTTATACACTTTCAGCGTTCAGTGTTGCATTAAAGAGAGCCTCTCCCCATCTACAATACGGGTCACTCTCCTGAAGTGATGTTGCTGCCATCTTTATTTTCAAAACCCGTAGACAGAGAATTTGTTTGACCCAAGAACCAATTTACCATAAACATTTACTAGATGGAACGAATCCTGCATCAGTGGAACGTCGCTATACCGAACACCGCTATACCGAACATTGGCTCCCAATTTTTGTGTACAAAACCAACCGAACATTGTTGTTGAAAAACGTCAACAGAAGAGCGACAAGTGGCTATTATTTCTCCAAGGAATAGAAGGGGAAAGCCACCCATCGATGTAGGTAGTAAGCTCAAAAACTGTGTAATGACATAATTCAATAGTCGGCACGTGTTTGAAGTCGTCTTTCAGTAACTACCAGGGTGTGCAGGGTGAAGTTCTGAAGGGCGCTATTTATTGAAAAGTGAGAACCGGAGCACCGGCAGTTTAAAATCGCTATACCGAACGATCGCTATTACGAACATTTTTCTGTGGATCCCGCGATGTTTGTTATAGCGGCGTTCCACTGGTATGTAATTTCATAATTATAAAGGAAATTACGAAATACCAACGGACTTCAATGCACACTTTTGACAAAATGTTTGCCAAATGAAACCAAATTCTTGATCAACTACTTACTAAATAATACTAGCTTGGACGAAATTGAATGAATTAAATGACCATTTGTATTATTCTTTTTCTTATGTATTTTTTTGTTCGGCCAATTAAACAATTAAACAAGTCATACAGTCATACTACGCGAGGCGCGTTTTCGATTTTCAATGGACCTTTTGATGTAGGCTACTCAGTTTAGCATTTTGCCGTGTCCTGCTTACAATTATGAGAGTCATGCAAGAGAACGTATTCCCAACATAAGAATACACGTCCATGTCAACAAACTGTAACGGCATTTCAACTTGGGCCTATATTAAATGTACTTTAAAATTGCTTGAGAAGAGACCAACTGACATCCGCGTCTCCGTCATGTCTTGGATGCCGACACTTGTAACGGTAATGAACACGTCATTGTAGCGGACTTGTGCTGCGTCCTTGTACATGTATACATTATTGATTAATGATGGACATTTACGTTGGAAACTACCGTTCACGAAATTTATGCCGATCTTCCAAATGAGCATTTCCCCTCTATTACCATTACCATTTATTACCACGCTTCCCTGGGGTTTTAACAATGAAGGTAAAACCTTATGAAGGCTATTAAGTGTAATGGCCGCATGCTATGGATGCATTAACTATTTGGCAGCTGAAAATGACGACAAACTGCACTTTTGCAACTTACAGTCTGGTAATATAGAGGCGACCCTGCACTGTGTCCTTGTTTTAATTTCCAGAGTTATTAGAACTATAACCGTAGAGCTGCAATGGATATTAGTTATAAATATTAGTGCATTCTTGGAATCGTTTTTTCAGTGGCGTAGCATGGTCATCGTTTACCGGGGTGGGGGCGGGGTGGGGGTTAGACGTGAAAATTGGCACGTGCCCATTCGTGCTGAAAGGTAGACAGGTTTTCCTCCAGACACCTGGCCTCCGTAAAATAATGAAGTAGGAGGGATGGACAACATCTTCCTATGAGGGAGCTGTTCAAACCGGTGATCATGGGCACTATGAGAAACGGTGGCGCTTTTCAGGGCGGCACGTTTGCGTGATTCCAAAAAGGGCACACAAAAAGAATGCAGTGGCCGGGCACCTGTGTACATATAAAGAGCACTTGCATAAAAAAGGCACTCTTTACAAAATATTTGGTGGGGGGGGGGGGGATGCGACCCTTAACCCCCCCCCCCCCCCCCGGCTATGCCAATGCATTTTTGATTCCACAGCGCACTTTACATATACACCGTATTATATAGCACTTTTGACAGCCCTTTCCTCGGTGGTTGCGGAACTTTTCAAAAAATGGGCGAAGAACATGTATTCTCTTCGTTTTAAAAAATCGCAACTTTCTTACAATTTTTCCCGTAAGAAAATGATTGTCAAAAGAAGAAAAGCTAGGGAAGGCTGAAGGGTTGCAGTCGTTTTCCGCTGTTAGTTAAAACAGTCACGGCGTTTAAGGCAATATGTGAACAACTTTTATAGAAACAAGCAAGTAGGCTATAAAATCAAACATTAAAAGACAAACGTTTTTGTCATTCCAGTCAAAAAATTTCTTTTCAAAACCTTCTTCAACCGTTTGTGCGCTAAGTGTCTAATTATGAAGTTAGCGTGGGACCAGATATTCCTTAATTGCAGTGAATTTTCTCATGTTTTTATGCGTATGCGTTGCCAGTCTTTTGTTGATTATGGTCGCGCCAGATGTAAACACACATGTTTTTCGACGTTTTTCTCCTTAAACGTCAGACATTGTGTGGATTTACTGTACCCAAGACCCAGATTTAAAGAAAGTAAATAAAAACAATCTTAGCTTTGCCGAATGTACACCTTTAGGCGTCTGCTGGTAAATGCGTACATTGCATCGTTCCTTTTTTACTGACAATATGCTTAATGATAACCGTATCTACGTTTATTTCTTTTCATTAATAGGTATTGTATTCTTATCAATTCAAACAAATGATACTGAAGGGTGTAATATGTTATACGCCATTTCATATGTACATTAAAATATCCAACATTACTCAAAGAGCTACATCAGAGTTGAGTATTGATTTCTTCATTTTGAATGTAGTCTAAGCTCAAACGCAGCCAACAAGCTCGAGACGTAAGCACATCCCACCAGTAGTGTAGCCTTTTGGTATGACGCGGATGAATCTGCTACAGATCATTACTTGTGATGCGGTCTGAACTGGAACCATGGCATCTCCGTCTGCCGACCCAGATACAAACTGTGGAAAGAATGATATATCGTGAGTCAGTTAAAGAGCAACAAATAAGGAAAACTACCCCCCCCCCCACAATTATCTAGATCTACGCAGGCGTTATTTCTAAAAACGACCAGTCGTCATTTCCATTAAACGAGTATACGTGTTCCATTTCGTTGAAATGGTGACGTATTGTGCCGTGTAAAGGTTTAAGATTATGAATCGTTTCACGGGTCATACTGAGTGAAATGACGGATGGATATTATTGAGTGATGTGTGTGCCTAGCCTATGTGAGATATGGCAGAGTCGGCAGACACGATAGGAGGGCGCTGTTTGATTTGGGTAAAGTCTTTTGTAATTGGGTAAAGTCTTTTGTTTTACCCAAACCAACAACCGCCCTCCTATTGTGTCGGCCATACTCTCAAATAGGCTAATAAGTTGGCGCGGACCAACGGCGGATCCGGGGGGGGGGGGGGGGGGCAACGGGGGCCAAGCCAAAATTGGGGTATTTTTTTAGTGACGCAAGTCGCAAAAGAGTCAGCCATTGCTAAAAAAAAAAATGGTTAAAGTGGTCAGAAATTGCCTCAGATCGCAAAACAGAGCATTTAGAATCCAAAAATGTTCAAGAACCCCAAGCCGTAAATTTTTGAATCAACTTTTTGGGGGAGCAATTTTTGGCCCCTTCCCCCCAAAAACGAATTGTGTTCCGGATTCGCCCTTTGCGCGGACATCCAGGAATTTCTGAAATCTCAATTTTCTCGTTCCAAGACCTAGTTTTATAAATCTGATTGTTTTTTAGTCTGAATGGTATTAACACACAGCAACCGATGATAATACACATGCTAATGAAAAGATGTTTTCAGCGGATGACGTAATGCTGCGTCGCCTTACCCTTCTCAGACAGTATGATGAGAAGTTACACCAAAGACTATAACGCTGTGAACATAAATTAGGAGCAATCAGGCTAACATTTCCGCAAGTGCTCACGGAATTCAAATGAAATTGCAACTCGGCATTTATTTGGCAATCGCATGTTTTGTTCCTTGCACAGATTCGCTATTTATAATATGAATAAATAGTGAGGCTGGGCTGCGCTGCGAAACCAAGACTCTTTCGCGTCGTTATACTGAGCAGGTTAAGATATCACATAAGAACCTGCTCAACGCAAGTCATTTTTGAAGTAAGTTTCTATCATTTGGTGTTATTTGGTATTATTTGGGAAGCCAACCGTCCAACGAGCCATATTTAAGCCTGAGCGTGCCTATTGTCTGGTATGATCGAGTAAAGGTTTCACGTTCACCTGTCAATTGGCACTTTTGGCAGCAAAATTGACTGTGATCCATCTATTTGTGTAGTCTATGGAATAGACAAAGATCTATGAGATGCGAGCAGGTTCGGCGATATGCAAAACAAGACTACGTCTTGAGATTCCTCGAGATTCTGACCATTCAGCGGGCGCCTTCTATATCGGGTCTTCCGTAACCCATTCATGTATGTTACAAAAACATGTCAGCCAAACTGAACAATCAACAGCTTATCAGTCCGCATGTCTGATCGAAATGGCGTCACACTTTCTGAAGCCGACTCGGCTGGCGCGTGGGGTCGCATAAAATTTGCATTGCTCAGTTAAAACAGACGCTGGTTGCGCAGAGGGCTCCGTTTGACAACGGGTGATACTCGGACTACTATTTGTGCGCGTTCGTATCAACATTCAACTTAATTTTAAAAAAAAATGAGATATTGTATACTTCATTCAGCTCCCAGCTGCGTAAGTTAACTCATTCGAATTTGCAAGTAAGCAGGCAGTGATGTAAGCATCATAATTTAAAATTGGCCTTAGTTAATCAATAATTGGCTGTTTCGGAAAACATGCCGAAACAGCCTTTGTTTGCGTTAAGATTTTTTTCCAGTCATTGTTTGTCCCCGGAACTCTGGGCACTAAAATCAATCTGATTGCCTTTATACTCTGCATACACTTAGACCAGCATCTGAAGATGTTTGCCGAACATTTACGTCATTATGACGTCGTTACGAGTCACGTGGCGTCACATTTAATGTGCATATTTTTAAGGCCAATATCTCCAGAACTACAAGTCCGATTGGGTTCAAAGTTGCTATGCACTTAGATCGGGATGTGTTATAGATGAAAAGACGTCATCAGGGGTCACGTGACTTCACTTTGAAGATTAATAGATCTTATATTTGAAAATCAATACAAAATCAACCGTGAGAGACCTGAACATGACTTTGGCGGTGACGTCAAAAAATGTTGGAGCGCCCTCTAGCGGCAACAATAAATAGTCAGTTGATGAGTGTGCCGAAGTTTGCTGAAATCAATTTTATTAACAACCAGCTTCATGCTAAGAACAAGTGGGGGGGGGGGGGGGATTCATGAGGTCACCAGACCGGAGGTTACAATGAAAATACCTCTAAATCTTAATAAAAAAAAATTGCTGAAAAATCAACCGCGAGAGATTGAATCCAGATCTTTGCTTCAAATCGCACAGTTAACATACCTCTCAAGCTTTCTGGTGATGACGTCACCATGACGTCATCAAGTATCAGATTACAAGCAACCAAAGATTTCTAGATTTAATCTGTGAAAATCAATATAAAATCAACTGTCGGAGATTTGATTTACTTTTTCCGGGAGTTGATAGAATAATCCAGGATCTTAATTTTTGATATTACGTGCAAAATCAGGTCACCCTTTCTTTCTAATTTGAACTACAGGTCCGATTGGGTTAAAGTTGGTTTGTACCTAGACCGGGATGTGTTATAGATGAAAATTGATGTGACGTCATGATGACGTCATTACGTGACATGTGACGTCATAATTCAAAGCCCTATGAGAATGTAATCACATATGATATGCCACCATTTGTGATATGTCACCATTTATTATAAACATCAGAACTACAAATCCTTCCTGGATGGAACTTATGCTTGAAACATTACATGCCACATGTCACAAAAAAGTTGCCGAAACAGCCCTGTGTTTGTCTACAAACATAAAACTTCAAGATGGAAGAAAACTTATAAGAACTAGACTAATAAGTTGTCTTTTTTCCATCTTGAAGATTTGTATAAAATGATTGTTCAATCTAACAAGGTTCTGTCACGGAATTAAGGGTGTTCGAGTCTCGCACTCTAATGTAAAAGAGTGAAAAGCACTCGAAGTTGTCCCCATGTAGCTTTTAAATAGAGTGGAAGCATAGAGCTATACTAAATTTAATATAGCTCTACGAGTGGAAGTTAATTTAGTGAACAATAGTGAAAAAACACTCAAAAAGATGCAAACTTCACTCGAAAAGAGAGAAAAACCACTCAAAAAGAGTCGTCCGCCATATGGCTCTTAAATACAGGGTGAGTAAAAAAAAACTGAAACCCAAACGTCGGGACTATTGTTTTATTGAAGGTCTGCATGTATAGCACATTCAAAATCTAAGATATAAAAGCCCAATTCATAAGCTTTCTTTAGTACAAGAATCATTCAAATCACTCTTGTGCTTTTCAAGTTACGGAATTTTAAACACAACCACCATTTAAAGTTCTGTTCACGGATCATACAAAAGGTGTGCGTTAGTTCAGCAAAACCAAAGCAATTCACACACATCCCTATCATATGTGATTTGTTTTCGTTTTGCTGAACGAACACTGAACTTTTTGTGATCCGTGGACAGAACCTTAAAACGGTGGTTGTGTTTAAAATTCTGAAACTTAAAAAGTACATGAGTGATTTGAATGATTTTTGCACTAAAAGAAAGCTTATGAATTGGGCTTTCATATCCTAGGCTTAATATGAGAATTATTTTTTGTCTGGTAAATTTCTTTGAATAGAAGGGATTTTCAACAGGGCGCATCAATAAAAAGATCGAAACTGAGAAAATGTATAAACTAAAATACAATTCCCTCAATTTTGTCAGAAAGTAATAAGAATACAATGCAGCGATGCCAATGAAAACTGAAATGTGATATGCAAATAACCCATGACCCAACCAGACACGTCATTGGAAGAGCATTTCAAATGAATGGCATAACTAGGATGTGTTAACCGCAGAAAGGAATGTGTGATACAGAATGTGAACGCCTGAAATATATAAAAACAGCAGGGGCGAATAAAAGTGAGCAAATTTGTTTGAATTTAGTCACATTAAGATTAATTTGATTGCTACTTTACAACGTTGAGCTAGGTTTACTTTTATATTTTTAATTTTTTAATCTTTACCTTTCGTTTTACATTGTCTTCCGTTTTTGCATCGGTCCATTCCAGGCCGTCGTTGCTGTAACTCATATAGAATGATGATACATAGAAGAGAGATAAGGCTCGTCCCTGCACGATGAGACCGTACAGTTTCACCAGTCGTCCCATATCTATCTGCAGCCAAGAACCTGAAGATTGTCCGCACCATGAACCTTCAAACCAAAGCAAACCACATCAAATTAAAGATTAAGGATTGCAAACCCACTGTCGCTTGTGCATTGTTATTAGGAACCCGTTGCGTGTTCACTTTTATCTGGCTCTTTGTCTTAATTGCTAGTCTTTGTTCTCACATGAGAGACGCAACAATGTATGAAATTCAATCCTTTTGTAACTAAGGGTGGCCAAAAAAAACCAGGTAATGTATTCTCAAACCGATATAGCATAAACAAGTCATTTAAAAAATAATAAATATATAGGAAAAGCTAAATAAACAGCTTTCCCTCAATATATTTTCTAGAATTAATTTATCATTATTTAAAATGTATAATTATGTTGAGGCACAATTAACAGAAGTATGGTAATTCGAAAAGCGACTTTTGAAGCTTTTCAACTGAAGAGGTTTTTTTTTTAGATGGCAGGCATAGACAGAAGGACGGTTGTAAGGGCCTGTGTCAAATTGTCATTCTGATTCTGACATTTCTAACTCTTCCAGTTCAAGGGTGATAATTCAGGCTTTAATCAATTCGTATGTCCAATAACTGATCCATTTTTAGTTCCTGAAAGGCATATATTAGCTTGAAAATTAAGTTTTTAAATAATATCAACTCATCAGTGCAACAAATAGGATAAGATATCGTAACTAAATTGTGGATGAGGAGGGAACACGTGACACATTTCACTGTCCCAATAAATTTGTGCATAGACGACTTTGTTTCTCATACTCAACCCGAATGCAATGCAAATATCGAAAAACAAATTTGGACATGAAAATATTAAAGAACATCTGTTTAATATAATAAAAGGTTCTTAGTACGCATGAATGCTTTTATGCACTAACCGTTGCTGTTCAGCCTGGCTAGGGTAGGTCCATATTTGACATTATCGTCATCATAGACTGCTGAAGCGGTTATGTTACCATCATGTATCGTGCCATCTTCCATACCAAGAGGCCCACAACAATGACAAACTGCACATGCCAAAAAAATATCCTACTTAAACGAAACAAAACTACAAACTATCAAATACCCCTCAAAGCGTTCAAAGAGTTAATGAGTAATGTTGACGAAAAACCTGGCAGTATTATTCTTAAGGCCAAAAAAAAAGTCTCCGGTTTCTGGTATGGAGCTTGCCCAAAAAGTGGTGCGGCGACGCGGCTTTTTTTTTTTTTTTACCTGATTTTTTTACTTCAAATGTCGGCTGATGACTGCAAATGGTGCCCGACTAAACTTAGTGCAAATATATTGGAGTCCAGAGAGGCCACATAAAGCTTATTCTCGACCATAACCCAATCTAAAAACACGTTAAAATTGTGCAGCAGCAGGATTCCAGTCAAACCAGTGAGTTTGGCGGGTTTGAGACATCATATTTCGTTAAAAAAAAAACTGTTTCATTTTGCCGACGCGCATGGCTACGGCGACGCGCGCACATACCAGAAACCGGAGACTTTTTTTTTGGCCTTGTTTATGGTTAGGCGTTCGGAACTGTGCAGTTTAAAACATGTTTCCAATTCCATTCGCCAACAACGTGGTGTCGCAACTGCATGTTTATTCGTACTTTTCTTCACTCTTGCTAATAAATTCACATATTTATTTGTTTCATTATTTACTTGAGACGTTTTTCCTTGAGATTACATACCTACAATACTGATCAAGAAGGCACAATTGCCTGCATTCCCGGCTGCATCTGAAGCTTGACATGTGACGGTTGTGTTACCCGCTTTATACTCGTCCCCTGAAACCACAGTGGTCATGGCATCATCTTGACAGATAACGCCTAGGATGCCATCCGCATCATCAGTAGCTCTAGGCCAACCTATCCAAGTCACAGACACAGATACATTGACATCCGTGGTGTAGCTGTAGGTATCCTGAGGACATGTCACCACAGGGCTTTGAGTATCGATGGGTGAGGAGGAGGAGGCTAATATAATGTTGAAAAAAAAGTATGAACGATGGAACTGTCAATTCATTTACGAAATAAACTCGATACAATGAAATAAACGATGGTGATTTTCTGGTTCTGTGCTCGTACTGTGCAAACTCGATATTAAGGGATACAAACTCGCAGGCGGGAGAGGATGTAATGGAAATTGTAAATTTTATTGTATTATTTGTTTCCTCAATAAGATTGTGACTGTAATTAAATAATGTTTTCATTGTCTTTATAATTCACACCTTCAAAAGGAGTTTCTGTGGATGTAGAAAGTGATGTGTGGGCAGTAATTTCCTGAAAAGAAAACAAATAGTAATTTCAGAATCAACTGTTTATAAAAGAGCATTTTGTGTTTCGGTACCGCAGCCTGATATATATCAGGGATGGGAGAGGATATAGGTCGCACCCACCATCCCTCCATGCACATTTTGACTAGAGCGGAATAAAGCCATAGGATCATTCAACACACTCTCAAACCCCCGATTATTGTGCTGAACAAAAAATAAAAGATTAAGCATGTCCTCCTGTAAACATGGCAATACAGAAAATTAAAAAAAAATACTGGTAACACAATGGGGAATCATAGGGCTGGATAACTCAGTTGATGGTAGAGCACCGGAACGGCAATCAGTAGGTCACAGGTTCCTTTTTGGGGGGTCAAACCCCGTGCATGTCAATTTCTCTGTTCAACTTTATTATAATGCACCTAGTTGGTTTATTTCAGAGAAGAAAAGATGAGTTAAGAGAAAACACCAGCCACTTTTGAGCGCGTACGTATACATTTACAAAACAAAGTCCCTGTTATGAACAGCGCTATCTAGTGTCTAGCCCCCCCCCCCCCCCCCCCACCCTACCCCGGCCGCGAGTTCAGTGGTTCCGAGGAAATTATTGCAACGCAGGTCCTGTGAGTCTTTCTATTAAATTAAAATTTAGAGCAATACATTTGGAGAAGAAATGTGGTAAAAAGGGGCATCAATGAATTCGATCGAACCAAGGATCTCTCGATCCACAGTTATTAATGTCAATATCCACTAAGGATACTATAGTAGCTTGACGGAATATTTTCCTGAAACTACAACAACTTTAGCCTAAATTCTATAACAATGTTGTTGATGTATTTTTATTTTCATGATTAAACATAATTTTACCATTACAACTGCATGTACTGAATTATTCTTAAAAATGGATTCATCCGCCCACCCGGCCAAGCGACACCTTTGGAAGTAGGGCTCATCAGTTGAATCAAGATTCATTACTGTTGGAGTGTGACGAAAAAGAAATAAAAATTTGCGTAGTGGTCCCCCGACACCCATGCGACTGTACAGTATACATTATACATTTGTGTATGTTTAACAATGCCCCGAGCGTCGAATATAGTCCCCCCCCCCCGCCAACAAACAACAATCGCACCTATCAAAATGAATCCGTTATTGTTGCTGCTTGTTGGTATCTTTGGGTCTTTCCAACAATTCGCTCAATGAAAACAACCCAGGTTTTGGTAAGAATTACATTCGCCGATTTCAACTAATGAAATTTTATAATTCCTGGTATAATGAAGTTATAGGCCGACTTACTTGCTGAATAAGACCTTGGTCGGAGCGTTCAAAGTAACTGAAGTGAACTGCATACTGCAAACTTGTTGGGTTTATCTGCTGCGTGGAGTCGTTGAGTTGACAATCTCCTGTGATGGCGTTGAAGTTAAATGACATGCAGCGACGGTACCTCAGGCAGAGTGCCGCACAACGCATCTTGGACGAGCTAGGTCGTGTCATGAACGTGTGGCCGATCAAAGCGTGTGCTTTGTAAGCTAAGTATAGATTATCATGCTGGTTAGCACATGTCGTGGGTGGTAACCCATGACAGACAGGCAATAAGAGCATAGAACAGATGAAAACTTTGAGCATTTTCGCCGCTTTGGAATGTGTTTCACAACCTACGAGACACGACAAACTTCCTGGCCAGTTTTCGCGAAGTGAATTGAGCTTGTGCTTGTGTTAGGGATATTTTCTATTCAAAATTGATTTTTCTTCTGGTGCATGCTCAGAAAACAAACATTGCCCTGTTTTATACTTATACAGTATTGTATTAATGCTAGGAAAGCAATATCGACGGGGCTTCTTGGCAACTAAATAGACTAATAACTTTCAGACTTGGCCATGGTAATCTTATATTACTGATGCGAGATGAGAGACTTCGTTCATTATGAATTTTGAAATACATTATACTTTTGAAATGGTCATGTTCAATTTTTCGTCGAAGTCTTCTAATCAATATGTTTACGTAAAATGGTTCTTGCTTAAAGGGAATGTACAACATTTGCTTTTGCTGCACTTTTCAGAAATAAATAAATTTGGAGGATAAGTATGTTATAGCAAAACTTGTTCAACTGACTTGTTTCACGTTTTGGGCTTGTAGATGCTGGAAAAACCAAGAAAACCAATCATGTTCTTGTACTAGGCTGGTTCCCTGATCCCACTTAAGATTAAACGGAGATATTTATAGACTGGGGGAATTGTAAGGTCAGAGAATCAGTCTAGCAGGCTTTTACCATTTCACAGGTGTGTAAACAATTGCAAAGCAAATGCGGAATAACTAAATATGAAAAATTAGGAGCAGTTTTTGAAAAAAGTCAGTTTTTTTCCAACGCTGGTCGGCTGACCAGCGTTGGAAAAATACAAGTTTTCTTGAAAATGTCAGCTCACCAGGAGTCACGATTTTAATGGATGCTTTGGACTGTCATTCCCTAGTGAGATATTTCGTGATAATTTGATCATTTCTTTTGTTGATGTTTGCAAATGTATTTTCCCTTTAACAACATTTTTTGCTGACTGTACATGTGTTATGAGGAAATATGAGACGTGACGGTCTGTGCAGTGTGAACAAAGGTACACACATACTGTTCACTGTCGTAATTTAATCGCCGTGGTTGAATTCCATCTTCATTAAAATTTCAGAAGCAATGAAAGTGAAAGTAAACATTTCCTGGCCGGGCTTGCACTAACCGACAGCTATTCCATTCAGATAGACTCTTGCGGAATGTGAATTAATATATAACATAACGAGCTAATAATTAAAGGTATGAACTTATTTAGGTCTAATTTGAATTAGACCTGCTCACTGACCACAGAGAGGCTGGAATTATCACTTGAATGAACAAACACCTGATTTAATTGCCATTTTCGGACTGAGTTGGGGAAGAGTACTGAGTTGGGGAAGAGTTTGCAAATGTTCTCCTTAAATCCACAACACCTATACATAACAAGGAGCGTGTTTGGGCGTCATTTTCATGGAAACGTTATCTCAAACTGCGTATTACGTTGCCTCAATTCGGCACCCCTTATGGGTCCTTGTCTAAATGTAGTGAGCATATGACCCCATAGTCACCATGGGCGGGTATCGGATGGATACTAGAGGGGATACAGAAGCCAGCTCGGGCTCTGAGAACCTAATTAATTGGGAATGATCATCCTTTTATCAAGGAACAATACTAAAGCCAGCCGTACACTTTTCCAATTTTACCGCATCATCGGGCCATCTATATGGGCCATCGGACGTACAGATCGGGGAGGTATGCGCTGAAAAATCGGACCATTCTGACCGTGTCGGAACAGACGACGGTGATGGTTACTCGCCTTCATTGAGGTCATTGACAGCGCGGTAGTATCGGGTTGCAGACCAGTAAGTAAACTTCCATAGACCCCAATGGTAAATGTTCCCACTTCAGAAATTCGGGAAAAACACTCACAACTCTCCAAGGTGTTCGAGACACACATCAAATTAAAGCTTATTTCATCATCTTTCATTTTCTTTTCAATTTTTGGGGGGTCAACTAATGACTTTTAGGAGAAATTTCCATCCGAAGATGATCACCCCTGAAAATAGTCCAAGCCCATCGCCATTTTGAAAAACGATGCCTACACTCCATTGCAAAATAAAGCGCTTTAAGGGCCCCAATTTCATCCAAATTGAACGGAACTACAAGCTCACCGTCCTGTGCATGGCTTACATCCATATATTTTACAAACCCTCAAGTTCATGGCCAACAGCATGCTGAAATACTGAAGATTTTGAGGGCATGCAAATCGTGATTTGGCCGGCGAAGGCAATTTCGGACCAATTTACTGGTCTGCAACCATCGGCGTGGAATTCGTAGTTTCGTTAAGGTCCCTTTGTATGGCAGCCATATTCTTGGTGCAGTTCAGTTTGTTCCACCGATGAGATACGCAACATGTGGCCATGCATGCTTCTTTTCCCTTTTTGTTGCTACAATTTTTACTTTGATACATGTCAAACGACGCCGACCTTTAGTAAAAGAATAAAGACTCAATATCAACTATCATGTGATCAAGCAACAGTATAAAAACAGGTCTATGCCCTTACCAATCAAAGAAAATTGACTGCAAGAAATACGTCAGCGAAGGGCAAAACCTAAGAAAGTAAGACAAATACGCAATTATACGGAAGAGATTTGTTTTGAAGAGTATACCATTTGATTTTGGAAGTATAAACTCATACCAAGCTGGATAATGAGACTGATAAAAATGACAGCGTTGCCCGGTTTTCGAGTGCCTCCTTCTAAGGTATTCCACTGCCCTTTGAACTTTGCATCAGCCTCGTTCAGTTCGTAGGCTATGAATACTAGACAGGCTCTAGAACTAAGGGCACGATGAACACAAGCCACTGATGACGGTCAACAAAGAGAACTTTACGAAGGATCGAAAACCAAGTCAACTCTTTCAGAATTCACCTCTTTACAGAACACGATGTCAAGTGTGTGAATTTTGCTGAGGACAAACACCATTTGTATTTATTCTACTAGAAATCTCACAGAAGTAACTGTTTGCAAGGTGTAATCGTTTTAAATGAACACAGTGCACGCAAGGTCACAAAAAATGTTAGAAAACATATTACAATTACTGATTGACATAATAGTATGATCTACGATAATTTGGGGCTCTATAACTTTTCAATTTCAAAGCTATCTTTTATTTTAATGGTTAGAAATGAAAACTCTCTCCATCCTATATTGATCCCTCCATTTATACAGACAGAAGGCTTGACATAACTCGTTTTGTGTTCCTTATAGTTTTGGGTTTGACAGTTTTCGTCTTATCTGCATGATACAATATCAACAAGCCGACAACCTTTTGTATCAAGTTCATAACATTAGGAGAGCCAATGTAATGTGCGTCCTATTTCAAGTCCCAAAGGTATAAGGTTGCGCAGGCGCGGTTCTACGGGGGGGGGGGGGGGGATTTAGCCCCCCCCCCCCTCCCCGCCCCCGTCCCCAAATAAAATTGCAAAAAAAACCACAAAATGAATTCAAATAGCAATAGCGAATGTTAGAAGGTGACGTAACAGTCCACCCCAAAAAAAATATTCACTACAGCTGGCCGACTTGGAAAAAGACTGCACTACAACAATCTCAACACTGGTTAGTAATAACCCCCTACAAAAGATATATTTACAATTAACCCATCGACTCTTGAGCAAGCAAAAATTTGAAGAGTAGTTTCCTTACTAATCATGTCTGTTTTTCTCATCAATTAAAAAATCAATAGGCTTTTATTACATGGAAAAGGTTATCTTTGATGCATTTCTGTAAGTATATAGATGAGGAACGTGCAACATAAACAAATAGTTTTCGCTATACGGGAAACTATTTTTCTTAATTATTCAAGGTATCTGAAAGCAAGATTTGCTGTACTTTTCTGAGAAACTAACAGGAATTTACAGGGTAGCAAAGTTATAATAACATCGCATATCAATTAACTATAGAAGACAAGTGAGGGCGCACTATATGTACTCGATCAGTAAGTACCTCAATTCATTTAATCCGTATTTTGGGATTAAGAATGGTGCATGTTTCTAATTGCGCTGGGGACAATACAGAACACTTGAGAAAGGTTTCTGTTCTTGAATTGGTAGAGGTACTTTTTCCATGTAATTGAAAATGATCCTACGTGGCTTTAATTTACAAAAATAGAGATTGGCTGCACTCCTTCGCAGCAATTTTGTGGCATCTTCCTTGCAGTTTAGGGTAGTATAGAATCACTAGACTTGGTTCAAGACTGCTCCCCTAATGCAGTCGGTCCCGATCCCTGGTAAGCGCTACCAACAAGATGAGCATACGTTACACTCACTATGGACCTTTCTTGTTACGTAAGAATTGAGCGCCATTTTTATTAAGTCTTTTTTTATTAAGTCTTTGTAGCTTTTGTTGCTAATTTTGTATTGTCAATAACCCATTGATATGTTTGGAAACATTAATAACTATTTATTTTGGCTCATAATATTGTCTTGCCAACCCGTGGTGGGCAAAAAGTGCCAACCAAAGAAAGGTCTACATTCAAGCTAATGCACGCTTGTAATTAAGCTCGCAATTTCTTTGGTGCGCCGCCAAACTTCCCGAGACTGTATCGGAATCATCTTGTTGATAGCGCCCTCTATCATCGCGGCGGCTTACCGCGCCTGGCAGCAATAGGTGATTTTTTTCTGCAGGCTAGTAAACTCATATACCATAAGTCGCATGCGTGAAATATATTGCGTAATTGAATTAATACATCATGTGATTTGAAATAACTTTATATGGTTTAGATATCCGGCGAAGATCGAAGCTATACGTTAGGTCAGTGGTCACAATGTAGAATGCTGCATGTTGGGGTTGGATTACTGGAAGTTAAAGTTGTTTTCTTTCCTAAATTGTGCTTGATTCATGGCTGCAGCGGATTTTTTTTTAAAAGGGACCTCCCATTTCTTTACCAACTGACGCATGCGCATTATGGTCACTGGCTAACCTGGATGCAGAAAAATTCATTGCTCACTTATATATAAACTGCGGCAGAATGTTGCAGCCACAACTCATCGTTGGTAATACATTAATGCAGTAATGTACATGACTGTCAGACGATTTGTTGACTTTTTACTGTACGTTTCCAGGTTAGTTATCTTTGCTACTCGGATGTTCTGCAGAGTACATTGCTTAAAGACTACTATTTGCCGTATATATATTCATAAAAAAGTGATAATAGTTGTCAGGTTCAGTGAAAATGTATCGATCCCAATCCATAAGTTATATAAAGTGATAAATTAAAATATTCGTTATACATTTAGGCCATGTTATGTTCTATGCTGACACTTGTTGCCGTTTATATCTCGGTTCTTTGATGTTAACGCTCCTTAGAACCGCATGGTGGCGCCCTTTACAAGTTGTAGATGTACCTCAGCGCGGGAGTTTTCATACAAATGCATCGTGAATTCCCGTAACAGTCGTCGCCAGTGCCACTGTAGCAACCCATACCTTGGCAGCAATTGTGCTTCCTGTTCTTAATGGCGCACGGCTTCCCATACCCAGTACACTGCTGAAAGGACAACAAAGGATACTAATATATAAGTTAACTTTCACCAAATTTCATTGTTACATGTTACATAACGACACTTTGTATAACTGCGCCCTCAGTAGTTTCAAACTGTAAAAATATGAGTTGATTGATGGACATCGAGAGGCATTCTCACTTGTTTTGGAGCCAGATTTTATGGTAATATTAGTCAAGGAATTGCGCTAAAATACATTTGGTGCTTATACGGCCTAAGCCTGGAACCGTGCCAATCCTGATATTCGCTCCCACTCCAGATAAATCCGAGTCGTTGGCCTAGGTCAGGTAACCACAGCGGTCAGGTAACCACCGCAGTCAGGTAACCACCGCGGTCAGGTAAACACCGCGGTTAGGTAACCACCACGGTCAGGTAACCACCACGGTCAGGTAACCACCACGGTCAGAGAAACCTGTTTAGATGCAGGTGGTCAGCTTTGTATTTGATTGCACATTTATCAGGTTCAACTGTTATTTTTATTATTTGTTTAAACCTGCAAAATGACAGTATCTATCACGAGAATAGGAATGATCATTTTGTTATTAAAAAACGCAAACATCAACGATACACTCCACATTTTAATGAAAATTTCGGACATTATGTGGTGGTTACCCGACCTACGTATCTTCAGAATTGTCACTTGTGGAGAACTTGTTCAACAAGACAAATGAACAATCAAACTTTAAATTTAAAAACAAATAAGCTGAAGAAAGAACAAAGTCAATATATCGCAGAGATATCAGACACTATTATAACGGAAAGTAGAAGGTGTTAGCTTATTAGTTAATAGCGCAATGTCATCCTTCCAATTCAAATTCACTAGAGAGATCGCGTAAGGCCAAGGCCCCGTGGTGAGCTATGCTAAAGACATCCTCCAAACAAGTGTAATATTTGAAGACACGAATTCACATGTCATGTTTTATGAATTGATTGATTGATTGATTGATTGATTGATTGATTGATTTCAGCCAAGTGACATGCACATGCAAGCAAAGCGCAAAACGATTTCTACAAAACTGTGGCAAGTCTGACCGAAGCATCGGAATGATGCACAGAATGAACAACGATAACATGATTCCAAAGCCAAATAACTGCCATGCGACAGACGTGAAACATGCTTGGTCCGTCTCAATGAAATGAGACAACGGGGTGGCGGAATGATCAACGTGAAAACACTGGAATTGTTTTTGAAGGGTAACCCACCGCGTATGGTTTAACGAACTGTTTCATCATTGACTTAATGCAGTTAGCTTGACTTATACCAGATGCTGGGGTATCGCAGGTTCGTTTGATTGTCTCTAAGTCAGATCGTCGGATAGGCTTGCGAAACAGAAATACACACATGACATGGTACAGTTAGGCAAAAAACGGAACTTCTTAATAACTTTGGAAAAGTTTAAAATCACATTTAAGATGCTTTTATGGACAATGATAAAAATGAGAGTTAGTGTTGCGTGTGGATATACGCCTGCCTTCAAAAGGAACATACATGCTGACGTACGGTGTGTACAAAATCATTTAAATATACCGATTTTCAAACGTATTTAATAGATTTTGCTCTAATCATTTTCCTTGATACTTTCTATTTGCCAGTAATCGAGAATAACTTTGTGAATTGTAACAAAACACAAAATACTGTATCGGTATTTATCCTTTCATGCAAACATGAGCAAAACAGTGCATGTTTTCCACTTGGATATACAGATACGATACTCAGGGTGAGTATAAATAACGAAACCCAAATGTCGGGTCCACTTTTAGTGAAGTTCTGCATGTAGCACTTTCAAAATCTAGAATTTAAAATCCCAATTCATAAGCTTTCTTTTAGTATATACGAGAATCAATCAAATCACTCAAGTACATGTACAAAAAACGAAAACAATGTGTTAATTGTTTTCGTTTTGCTGAAAGAACACTTTCCTTTTTTGTGATCGGTGAACAGAAGTTTAAAACGGTGTTTGTGTTTAAAAGTCCATATAAACTTGAAAAGTACATAAGTGATTTGAATGATTTCTGTACTGAAAGAAAGCTTATGAATTAGGCTTTTATATCCTAGATTTTGAAAGTGCTATATGTAGAACTTCACTAAAAAGAAATGGTCTCAACATTTGGGTTCGTTTTTTTTTAACTCACTCTGTATAAGGTTGCACATACATGGGAAGTACACGTAGATACATACAAAACATCAACGAAACGGCTTTTTGAGGCTTTAACTTTAAGACTTAATTAATGAAACTCATTGGTCTATTTTTAAAGCATGAAACAAACAAAAAAAGATGTAAGGCAAACCAGGGTTGCAATTTGCAGAATTTTTAACGCACAACCCTTTATGTGAAAAAAATATTGTTTACAGACAGAAATAAATTGCGAGGAAACTAAAACCAGAAGATGTAATGCCCTATAGAGACGAATGGCCTAAAAAGCGGGAGCAAGCAGATTTTTTTCCACTGTGGACTTTTTCGCGTCCGTTTTATTCTATACATGTACATGTATATATTTTTGTCTGGCTACAGGTTTCATATCGTAATTAATCATAATGTTTGACTCTATTCGATGCTATAGAGTTTTGAATGTTAGTGGTTCAGCGGTTAGATGTAATAGTCTTTTTACCATTCGAGATGATAGGTTACGCGGTGGAGGGCGCGGCCTTCTCTTGTATTCTTGTATCATGTTCTCAAACCAGTCATCGTTGTCCTCTTCCTCCATAGCAACCGCTGTCATGACAACTGCCATCACGACAACCACCAGAAGCAATGTCCAAGTCTTCATGTTGAAATCTATAGAGGGGATGCGGGTACTCTGCACTGAGGATTAAGTAAAGAAAATAATAGGTACTTAAGGTACTGTTAACATCAAATACAGTTGACACTTGTGCTCAACCTCTGTGAAAAATACGGCCATGCATTTTAACCTACTAATGAGGGAGAAATTCATTGTGAAAGTCCTAACGGACTGGGTTTTTTAATCTTAAATGCCATTTTCTGCATTCTCGGGATTTTTTAGAGCCTTTTAGGGATTATTAATTATGTAAGCTTACATTGTATTTTGAAGTAACGAAATGATACCAAATGCCTCAGTGCTCTGGCAACTTTGAAAATGGTGTAGGCCATGCTGCTGCTGCTTTGCATTTGCATTTGCTTTTTACAGTATTAGGTGGCCCAGGTAAAAGATGTATATGTGCGTGGTATTTACGAGTCCCAACAGAAAAATACATTTCTGTTTGAGATAGCTAATTTTCTAGCAATACAAAAATTTGAATGAGGCATCGAGAGAAAACAATTCTGCCTACGTTTAGTTATAGAAAAACCACTTAGAGTATGGGCCCTGACCCAATTAGGATCGATAATAGGCCTATAGGGACCGGAAATCAGTCTACTCGCAGGCGGATCTGATGGTGCGCAAAAGCAACCCAAAACAACAGATATTTACCATATGGTTAGAGATGCCCGAAAGAGAAAGAACTTGTTAAAATAAAGCATACAAGTTGAAAATACGATAGTAGAAAATAAAATATATCCAGTGAAAAGCACGGACAGTACATATTTAATCCTCCTCGCCCATCCCCTCAGCCCACAGTGTAAAACCCACTCATTACAAAAAGGGACAAAACCTACTGCCAGCCAAATTCCTCATTCTGTATTTGAACGTTTGTTCATCAGTTGATAAATGTACGCTCTCTCCGATCTCTTTTACTTGCAGCCAGCCGAGCACACCCCCGTAGGCATTTTATCCCAGCTAAATACTAAGTGTCGCCACGTATGTAGTGAGATGTCATTACCGTCACCCACACTTCTGAGTTGGTTTTTGAGTGCCTGTTAATACTGCGCAATTTCAACTGATGTGAAACAACATCATTGAAACCAGTCCTTACCAAAGAGTAACAATGATAAGAGCATGTTGTTTTTCCGTGACGAATACTGGGTCGTGTTCAGGCTCTTGCCCAGGTGAGCTGACAATATAAATGGCCTCCTGTTTGAAAAGCCTTGAAATTAAAGATGTACTATCCATGCTATTGTCGAGTTTCACCCCCCCCAACAAAATTTATATTTTAAGTTCAACTTCTATGGCAACACAAAGGTTATTCATTTTTGAATGAGACAGCGATCGAATGTCATACGATCGGCCAACGTTTTGTTACGGAATACTTCAACTTCACATATTTTTGTTACACATTTTCTACAACTTTTGAGCATAAATGGAATGAAAATTTTGAAAAAATAATAACAATTTTGTATGAATTGGAATTCTTAGCTCTAATACTTTGGTACAACAGTTAGAAGAAATGCATGAAAATGAGTTTTCTTCATCGTCTGGTTTTTGTTATCTTCATGTCAGATACATGTACTATTTAACTGACAGGCTATTTTGCCATGAAAAGCAAATACGCGTGCATGACCTAACTCAAAGATAGATTGCTTTGCCATTAAAAAAATAGGTAAATTTCAAAAAGAGTGTGAGATATAGGTCGTGCTGTCTTAAAAACCAGTTTACCTCTGATGACTTAAAACTTTCAGAAACGAAGAGCGCCTTCAATATGCCCAGAAGTGTTCTCATCTTAAAAACTCAAATTTTCGAGTTAGGCTGTTTTGCCATCCGAGAGCCGCCGAGTTATGATGGTCGAGTTCGAGTCCAAGTTTGAGTCTTTTGCCGACCAGGTGACTCGAGTCGAGGCCGAGTCACCCAAATTGTGACTCAAGACGGACTGGAGACGGACTCGATTCCGAGTCCTGGTGGACTTGAGTCCTACAGTCCGAGTCCTGGGGGACTTGAGTCCTACAACACTGCATCTTAAAAATTTGGCATCAATCATTATATAGGATTTCAAGTATGATTATTTACAACCATTGGTCTTTGCCTTTAAAGCGATTAGAAAACGAAAACAGTTAATAAAATGAAACCTGGATAATAGCTTCAATGAAAAAGTGGCTTTATAATAGACTATGATTAATGATTGAAGAGAAGACGACAGAACAGCCGAGAACAGGTAACCCATCATCGATCATGCAGGTACAATCATTAATGGTCTTCCTTTCAGCCTTTGTCAGCTATTAGCTCGCTAATATATGGATGTCGAAATTGTATAATGGGTGTTAAAATATCTATACAAAAAGCTTTTAACGTAATGGTACTGCTTATCTCAGCATCAGTGTTATATATTATGTGAAAGTAATAGCATATCCATTATGGGATTTGTAACAACAAAAATTTTTAGGAAAACAGAAAGAAAATGCGGTGGACCATGCAGTGGACAGAGCGTGTTATTTAATGATTTAATATCCTCGCAGAAAGCAGTCTTTGTCAGCACTTTACAGTCACATTAATTTTACAGTTCACATTAATTTTACAGCCATTTTTATCATGTCAACAGTTCCCAGACTGTTGCGTTCAACGTACAAAATGAAATTGCCATTTCGAACGTCATTGAATATAAGATTAAAAAAGCGTCTACTATTTTTCAGGTATCGTCTATTTCTCTTTATAGATACCAATGCATTTACCAACCTATTTACAATCCAATTTTACCAGTCAACTTATGTAGACCTCTATTACCAATGCATTTACAAATCCAATTCCTATAGACACGGATGTCTGTATGGTGAGAAGTCAATATGTACGGTAGCACCATGTACAGGCCTAAGCCTACTCATATCTTGTGCCAGTTTTCGTGACATTGAAAGAACCGACTTCAGTATATAAGAGAATACATTTTTTAATCTGCAGCCTACAATAAATAGTTTCAAAACAGGCAATAAAATGTTGTAGTCGTAGTTCAATTTCCTGCATTTTAGTTAACATCTGTTTGTAGTCTGTTTACTTCGACTGTTCGTGTCATATTTCCCCTATTATATCACCATTGGCAGTCTCTGCATCCATAGCTTTGTCTCTCTGCGAGTTTGCCAATTGTCCAGGTTGCTCTTTCCTATAGGCATATAGCGTGTTCCTGACGCCGCCTTCTGATCCATGTCTCCAGCATGTTAATCTACCCTAGGGAAAGCCAGGTGCAGGACTGAGCCAGCTTGTCTCGTCATGTGGAAGTGCAGTGATAGCTTTGCATAGCAGCTGCGGGCATGTAGCTCCAATACCCGATCGTCACCTTACACAGGCTAATGACGCCCTATATAAAGCACCATGTATAAGATCATGGTATAAGACCACTCAAGAAGGGACACAGTATCATCGCTGGTGTTTGCCCCTCATGTACTGACGTCATCCCACGCAAATTATTCAATCAAAACTTATATTAATAGCGCAGTTATATCTGGCCTTGTCAAGCGCGGATGTTGAACGGTTAATCATTTTGCTCCAATAAGCAGGAGGTTTTAGGATAGAACCAAGGAAACTTTCACCCAAACCCTACATATCACGAAGTTCAAATGTACATTGTGACTTGGTCATGGTCAATGAAATATGTCTTTTACTTAATATTTAAGACTTTCATTTTTGTTACATCATGACATCGTATAATTCTAGATTCCTTTTTTTTTTACATCGGCTAATTTGATTCACATTTTCTATCAGCTCGTTTGATTAAACCCACCGGAAGTTGTAGAGAAATTATGGTTGATTTCCAATCCTATTCGCCATTACGAAACGTCCGGTAACTGAATTAGCATCAGGAAACCAATAACCATTCAATCAATCTTCGTCACTTTTCATTGCCGTAATTTCAATAAAGGTCACTACGATCTGCCCAATTATTAATGACTTGAGTTGACAATTACCGACACTTCTATTGCCGCTCCGTCTCTGATTATCTCAGTTTACGTTGCTAGTTGTGGTCAATGCATTAAATGTTGTACGGCCGAGAACTTACCAGATTGACAGGGCCTGCTGCAGTGGTTCCCATGTGCATCAAGGAAATTATGCTGAGATTAATGTGCTGTCAATTATATCGGCCATAAAATATTCAAAAAGTGTGACCTCATTTCATTACACACACGCCGATTCCATCAAATTTGAATCGTTGATTCTTGTAGAAGGTGTATTTTACTTGTAGTGTGCGTACCATGAGAAATTTGAGATATATTTTGTGAAATGTTATAATATATTAGGCCTATCCACAATAATTTAGGATAAAAGTCTTACTCAGGCTTACAATTCGCTTGAAATAAATGAGTTGAACAATAGTTACGTGCATGATATCGCTCAATACATTTTAAGCATGGAAGGTAACCAAACAATCAAAAACATTCTCAGCATTGCTTTGGAAAATGCAACGAACATTCAAAACAGACATCATTCATTCAACTTGAGAGTTTGCTGTGCGTAGACTTTATCTCTAGTTTATGTCTGATATTAGTTTTATTTGAGCTTATCTCTTTCATCAATTTTTACGATCAAGCAGCATTTTCAACGAACCTCCTTTTGCTCTGTCGTGCATTGATGACCGTCGCCTCAGAAACTATCGCACATGACAGGAACGTGCACTGTGATTGACATGAGAATGCTCTCCTTATTTGCCTGAACAAAAAAATCAAATGCTCGACACAGGACTTTGCGACTGTTTGAATCGCATACTAATACATATTTGCGACGATTTTATATTGAAACGGTCTCCTATAAACTCATTGTTTTTTATGATTAACCAAGAAGCCGATATAATGCTTGACAAAAATGACAGCTGTGATAAAGAAGAATTCTTTTAACGTTGCAATTCAAGCCGGACGGTCGAACCTTCATTAAAGTTGGTATATATAGGCCTACGTGCTTTTACAAAAATTTCGATTTTCTTTTCCGAACGAAATTTAAAGGAATGTAATGTCCTGTAACACATACATTAGCTTGTTTGTTTTTGCAGGCCATT